ACCACCCAAGGGTTGTTCATGGTGTTGTATGTTGGTTCTGGATTTCACATGGGTTGCTTGGGGGTGTTGGTCTTGGGTGATCTGTTGATCTCCTCAGTCTAGCATATCACACGTTCGTGCCATTTCCACTAAGTAAGTCGTTCACATAGTAGAGTCATACGACCTAGGGCCCAGAGTCAGTCACCTGGTATCAGGACTCAGAAGTTGACTCTTAGTAATTTCTTACCCAGCTGTGACCAGCAGATTTCTTGCATATGTAGACTAAAAGGGCCGGGGCACTACCTTCTTCCCCCGAATACAACGGACGGTCATCACAGCTGTGTCTAGACTGAAAGATGCCTCGAATAGAGCTATAATGACCGTGTGTTGTATTCCGGGGAAGAAGGTAGGGTGAAGTTCATGCACATAACGTATGACCCTGGCTACTGCCACTACCACTTTCATGGTGGTTTCCAAGCACAAGCATAGCACCAATAGCCTGGCCTTGAGTTCGTACTAATGACGCATCAGCGGGCTTGCACTTATGGTTGGCTGCTTCCCTATTGGCTCTGGCTGCACATAGCCATTTGTTGTCCATTTTGCCTGGCCTTGAGTTCGTACTAATGAAGCATCAGTGAGCTTGCACTTATAAAACGGCTGGCTGCTTCCCTATTGCCTCTGGCTGCACAGCACATGCATAGCCATTTGCCCTCCATTTTTTACGGGTACAGGAATAGAGTCTAGAGTTCCACCGCTAGGCACGAATCGAGCCTGGACAGTCGTAACAAGTGCTCTCTGAACCGTGCGAGATGGTCGCCCATCACACGGCTCTCCAACTCAAGTTGCCTTATTCCCTATTGCCTTGGCTGGACAGCACACGCATAGCCATTTGTCCTTTTCCTTTAAGAAAGACCCTGTCACTTGTTTCTTCCCTGAAATTATCCAAAGACCTTCTTGAAATAGATGGCCTGGGGTTAACAGTGACATCCAGGGACACTAACCCTTGTGGATGTGCGGACTCCCAAGACTTGTGGACGAGGGGAAAAGGCTGGTGCGGGTAGGGGTGGGGGGGGTGGTAATTGCTGTGTGTTCACTGAAAAAGGGGGAAAGCACAGTTTTCTACGTGGTTTGCAGTGGACAAGGCTTGCTTTTGAAGTTCTTCGGGTGGAAAGTACGCAAACCACCTAGACTGCTCCTGAATGTGCAGATGGCCCCTTCTTTTCTTCTTTTTCTTTTGAGGAAACATCGCCTCCAGGTAGGCTAGCGGCGGTGGGAAGAGCAGCACCTGCTAGCCCCCCTGGTGGGGAGCACCACCTGCAAGAAATCCGGTCCAGCACCCCCTACAGGGTGAAAATCACGCATATGTTTGTGCTGTATGTGGAAGGCAAAGCCTGAGCGCTTGTTGTTATTGCTGGGACAGCGTCTTCAGGCACAGTGTGGCCGCCTGATAGCTCTTTTCCTTCCTAGCTTCCCCTGTTGCCCCTGTTTATGTCCTTGCCCCCTGGGCCTGGTTGTTCTGAACGGGCTATTTTTGTCCGGGCTATTTCTATCCTTGACCCTTCCACATCCCCTAGTAAAAACATCAGTTCGGCAGACCTTGTCCGCAGAACGTGGCTGTATAAAAGCAGGCTGCACTTTCCTGGCCTGGGACCAGTTCTCTTTTTTTGGGAAAAGGGAGGGGGATTGCAGTTGTACGCACTTTAGATGGGAATTGCCTGTGTGCCTGTTGAAAACGCCCGTCTTGTATCTGTACCCGGGACTCTGTTCGCCTTTCCCCTGTGCCGTCTTATGGTTGCACCTGGTCCCAGGCACGCAATTCAGGACCAGCAAACTCGATAGTATACCCAACGACCATTTGTGATAGTATACCCAACGACCATTTGTCACAAATTACTCTCAAAACCAGCGGCCTTTTTCCGCAAAGGTCTGTGTGTGTGTGTGTGTGCGTGTGTGTGTGTGTGTGTGTGTGTGTGTGTGTGTTGTCATATTCGCTATACACTTAAAAAAAGCACGACTGTACCAGACTGTTTCGGCGGACTTTCACCGACCATCAGGTGTGTGTGTGTCCGAGAGAGAGAGAGAGAGAGAGAGAGAGAGAGAGAGAAAGAGGCAGCCAAACAGCTGGTGGGTATGAGAGTAATTCCTGCTATCCAGTGCTTGGGTATACCGTATACCTATAGTTTGGCCGGTTGGCTCTAGTCCCGGGTACGTTCAAAGATTTGCCTTGTATGCATAATTCGCACAGACAGGTAGTTGAGTATACCTGCGACAGGGCATTTCCTGGGTGTATGTGCAATTCTCATCTTTATTTTTTATTTTTATTTTTTACACCAAACACACACACACAGCCCCTTCTATTCTTGGGGGCAACAGTCTGGTTGCTTATCACCGGTAAGCATAGTACAAATACGAGGACAAGTGTACTCCAAAGCCGGGTGTAGTTCCTGGCGGTGTGACCCCACCCCAGTGGCGAGCGGCCGCAGACTCCCACTGATACCCAGTCTGCGCTTCCGCTACAGCGGCCTCCTGCCTAGGCGCCCGTCCTCCAGTATGCAGGCTCCCAATTCCCTCTTGAACCCTTCTGTCATTGAGCAACCTGCCTCCCCCGCCCCCCCGCACTCCATCCCACCTACTTAGACATCGTTTTACAGTACGTGGCCTCGTTCAGCAATCACAATGTTCATGTTTTCAGGTGTTCACGGTTAACTTTTAACTATACGACGTGTCACTGCCTGTAGACCTCTTTTGCATTCTGTATATTTAACGGTAGGCACGGGTTGGTATTTAGTAATGTCGCATGGCCTATATCATCACCCGTCCCCCCAGAATCACAGCTTCTCCAGTTGTTGTATTCCCCTACCCCTCTGAAGTGTGAGGTGAGTCGAAGTCGCAAGTCTTACCGCAATCAGATCGTGTTAGTGTGTTATTTAGACTAGAAGACTAATCCCAGAGCCATTCCTAGAATCCCCTCCTAATGTACTCCTGACCCCACTTGTCCTCCCCCCCCGCCCAGCGTCCGCGGCCCATTTTAACTGGCCAGTTGATCAGGTTCAAGGAGCGGGTCGAACACCATCCATCCACCGTCCACCAGCATCAGTCCTGCATAAGGCCCCCAGACTCCCCATATTTGGATGAAGACCATCTGATCCGCTAACGTGATGAAGCAGTGCTTCCTTCGTGTCTTCTGAAATTCCGCCTGCAATGCTACCCTGAGACTGTACGCCATCAGCTTCACTGGAGTGGATCCCCTTCCTTCCCGCACCGCCTCATTATGGCAACAACACCAAATTGGCCATAACGCGGCCGTTCTAACAGTTTCCATGGCCCAGATCTGGCCTTCGCACAGGCCCCACACCGTAAGTCCTACTAGTGAACCCAGTAGTGTCCATGCAACCTGCTGGCGCATCCCCGGATCGTTATATTGATCTGCCAACTGCCGCCTCTTGGTCTAGAAGGCATCCACCATGGGGCAGTGCAGAAACAAGTGGTCCCGCATCTCGTCACAAGCCTGAGAAATCGGGCATACTCTGTCCTTGTGGCAACTTCTTGTCGCCAAGGTGGGGACCGCCAAATGCAGGATGAGCCATAGCCGAGCAGTCTGGCGCTTGTCCGAAAGTCTGTACTTCGGGGTAGTCCTTGCGCAGCCGGGCCATCAGGGAAAACAAGGTGACCCAGGCGGCCTGGTCGGTAGCCCAGCTGGCTTGCAATTTACTCAAGCTTAACATGATAAAATCAGAAAAAATCCCAACAATCTCAGGAGAATAGGCACTTGCATAAATTACAGCTGATAAAAAAGATATGGTCTTTATCATCATTCTTCGTGTTCGTGTGCTTTTTAACTATGTGCCTGGTCTTTGGACTTCAAACTCAAACACCTACGGTGACCTACCCTACAGGCCTCGGACTTGCGTCCATGCAGGGAATGTGAGTGAAAACTTCGCAAGTGGTTAACAGGAAGTTAAGAACCCCCACTTTCAGCTCCCTGGTTTAACGAACTTACGGGTTCAAAACTGAAACCAGGGTTTAGGGTTCAAATTTTACATTTTTTAAAATTTATTTCATTTGTTTTTGCTGTTTTGGTTTTGGTTCAAGGTTGCTGTGTATGCCAAATTTCAAATTTCGTCTCATCTGGAGCATTGCGAATCCCTCTGCTGAGATTTCTGAAATTTCCAAAGACTTTGGAAATTGGAACGCTGGCAAAATTTGCATGAGTGCACTTTCGGCTCGCAGATTTATATGTCTATGAATTTAGCAAGTTTGGTTAAAATGACCCTTGTGTTTTGCTATAAATGGCATGACAAATTGTCTGGAAATTTCGACCAAATTTCAACCTCCGTTCACGAGAAATGAACAAACATAACACACTAAAACATGCCCAGAATCAAAAGGAGTTAGATCCATCGAAAAAAAAAAAAAAAAAAGAAGAGAGTGGAATCATCTGCACACAGTGCTGAATCTGCGCATCAGTTTTCCATTTGCCAAGGGATGTCGGCAAGCATTTGGCGACGACGAAAGTTTGTGCACTTCTGTTCCATTGTCATTGGGGTTTCGCTCACTAATCTATGCCCTCTTAAGCAGGGGTTAAGATCGGTACATCCTCCTTCAAGTAATCAATGCCGTCTTCTGGGCCTCCACGCCATAAGGGGGAGCAGCATTTCCTTTCAAGGGACGCTGGACCCGTTTTCCCAGCAGGTGATGGTCCCCACTAATAGATGGAGCCTCTCCCCAGGTGTTAGTGGTGTCTGCTCTTACCAGCAGCACTAACACTGGTGGGGGGGGAGCAGCATGAGTGAGTAACATTTTTGTACTACCTTGGACTTGCCGGGGGAATAGGAACCGGACTGATGCTCCCCAGAATGAAAAAGGAGACAGAACCATAAGGTTCTGTTTTTTTCAACAAAAAAAAAAAAGAAAAAAAAAAGTTGCCCTAGATGAAAATCACAGAAATGCAATAAACAAGTCCGCAACAACTCCCTAGATGAAAATCACAGAAATGCAATAAACAAGTCCGCAACAACTCTTTTCTTGGTTAAGGTTTATTAGGAAGGAATTAGGACCGCAAACTGGTCGGCGGTTTCAAGATTTGCGACATGTTCCAACTACACCAGCCCAGTGATTGGCCTCGATCAGGAGATACAGAGTGATGAGATGTACTCTCGGCAACCAGACAAATGGGGAAAGGAGAGAATGGGTAAAGGGATGATAACGCACAGTGAACAGAAAAAGACAAATTGGCTTGTGCTTAACAGTAGACAAATAAATGGGAATGCGAATCACAAAACAGATTCAGGAATCACGAACGAAGAGTGTCACCGTAGAAAAAACTTACCCGTGAAGTCCTACCGGACTATGCTCGTGTCTTTGCTTATGACTAACAGAGGCAGAGGAGGCAGACGGCGACAACAATCTGTACGAAGTTATGACTAGAGCCTTGAAGTCTAATGACTGGCTGCTACGACAGAGACGAGAAGAAGCGTATCCAAGAACGAGGAACACACAGAGCACTAACACCCGTCGAATCAACATCAGTCAGACCCCAATGGACTATGGACTATGGTTATGTGGAAGTCTTGCAATCTAACACGCGTTCTATCGAGCTCACTACGACCCCTGATATCGATGGCTGAATTTCCCAGACAGATATCGAGTTTACTACTACCCCTGATATCGATGGCTTGGAAGTCAGATCACCAATCCCATCCCACACTGAGATGGACAAGGATTGTGGAGGCTCGAGTGACTGACGCTAACAAGTTCGCTGGCTCTCTCTGGCAAACAACGCATTAAAGGAATGCAAACTAAGGAACACATTCTACAACAGAGGAGACCAAACAAAAAGAAAAATGAATCATAGAATCTTTGAAAATCTGTTTTAAGGAAACTTTTAGCAAACTCTGGTGCTCCCTGCTGTGCTGTGAGCCCCTATTACATTACAAAACCTCACATGACATAGACAGCCTGACTGAAATAAAGGCAAACTCGAACCTTCCTTAACTAGCTCAAAAATCAAAACCATACGCACCTTGACTGAAAGTAAGACCAGCTACCTACCTCAAAAGATCAACGACGATGCCCCCCCCCCTGCACCCCCCCGCCTGTTATCTTCAAAGCTTGGCCATCCTTCTCATCCTTCTCTCCTGTGGTCATTAGATCTCATGATTCTCATCGTCATTAACTAACCTCTGCGCCATCTCCCCAGTCGCACAGACAGAAGCAACAAACAAGTGATGGAAAGACGGAACAAATAAAAAAAAAAAAGTGACGGATGATCAATCACCTATTACCAGATGGACCCACTTGTTATGTTATATAACTTCGTCCAGAATTGGAGGCAACAACAATTCTACAAAAATAGGACAAAAAACAGAGTTCAACAGACCAACAAAAATATGAGTCACCCCATTTGTCACCGCTCTACCCCCCTTCCTTCTCCTCTCTTTCCCTTCCCCTTTTCGCCCCCCCCCCCCGGCCCTCCTCTTACCCCCCGTGCGGCCCTTTCATAGGTGCGGACACCGTGCAAACGTACATTCTACTGATGAAAAAGACAAAACCAAATACAAATGGCAAGACTACGATGATGGCTATAATGGAAGTAAACCGCAAATCTTGGAATGGATTCGTAAACATTCCGACTGGAACTTGGCGGAGTATATCTTTAGTAGGCCCCCCTTTTGAATTAGGGCACAAATAGGTTGATAACTTCGTATATCTAAAGCTAATAACAACCTACCGATAGTGTAAGGAACGGAAAGAAACACACAAGAAAAAAGACATTATCCCCCCAAAAGTATGAAACAAATCAATAGGCAGACAAGGTATCAATAGACAGAAGTTAAGAGCTTGGCAGCACGGGCGCTGGTCATCAGGAAGACATCGACATGCTTTTCTGAAAGGACTGAAAGAATGAAAGGCCGTGGCAGGATAGAGCCCGTAGGGTCAGGGAACTTGCAGATGCCATTCGCTGTCATATACGAGAAAGCCTTCACCATGATCCTGTAGAATCCCGGCTGAAGCGTGACCTCCACTTGGCAGTAAGATTCATAACTCTGTTTCATTGCCAGGAACTGGCTTTGCTTGTCCATTACCCAAACACCAACTTTGAAAGGTTGTTGAACCCTTAGGTTCTGCGGGTCCTCCTGATCGATCCCGACGATGATGCGTGTGGGCTCCGTAACTTTGACGCGGAACATTCTTGTCGGCTGCCGCGGATTGCCGAGTGCTGACCAGTCGTCCGCCACAAAGCTGCAATGAGTGTGCAACTCCTTCCACGACTTCGTCGACGACTTTGGCGCTAGCATCAGGTGTGCTCCCACCTGCCTGTCTGAGTGCACGATGAGCGTGAAACGCCGCGGCAACGCAGTCCCAGTCACATCTGGGAACTTCACCAATTCTCCCTTCCCGTTCGTGTACGAGAACGCCTTCGTCATCACTCTGTATTGCCCTGGCTGCAAGATCGTCTCCAACTGGCAGACCACCTCCGGCGTCTGCTTACTTGTCACAAATTGGTTCTGCTTGTCCATTATCCAAAGTCCAACCTTCAGTGGTTCAGGGACACCCAACCTGCCATAGGACAATAAAACCCCCACCATAACAAGGAAAACACACGCTTGTCCGTCAACAACAACAACTCAGCCTTCTCGGGTCTTAAAGTGAAAAACCATCACTTAATGAATCGGAGAGAAGTAGGAGCATGGCGGGGTCAGAAGCTTACTCGTGCTAACTACGATTCCGACTGTCGGGAAGGACACAAATACAAATACATCGGGGAGGAGACAAAATTGACAAATACAAATACAAGATTATGAATTATAAATTTAACAACATATTTGAGATTTCCAATGATGCTTTTGGGGAGTAGGAAGGATATCCTTGGAAAACCATAACTTAATGATACTTTATGTCAATTTGGGTTTTCCAGTATTTTTTTCTGTTTATCTAGAGAACATGATGGGTCAATTGTTTGCTTATCTCACAAAATAACACTTGTATGTGTTGGGAGGCAAGTGAAGAAAGAATAACAGACCAGTGGGCAGTTTAGAGGTTCTCCCCTGTGTGCCTCAGGGAAGAAACCTCGAAATAGACGGTGGAAAGACGATTGGAAGGAGAGCAGAGGACACTGAAGTAGAGGGGGACCGCAGACAAGAGGGAGAGAGTAGAGAGGATACTCCAGTGAGGTGAAAGGGAGAGGATGGGACAGCAGGTGCTCATTAACCAAGTAGAGTTGCACTCAGGATTTACTATTATATCCTTGTCTACTCTGTGTGTCTTTTTCTTCTTTCTTGGTTCTCACATGATGCATGTTTGACAATTGGCTAACCTCTCGTTTGTTGCTGTTATCGCGACTAATCATCTGCAGTGAGAGAAGAGAGTGGAGGATGGCGCACTAGAGGGAGAGCACACACACAGGGGATAGAAGTTTCAGGAACGGCACTGTAGCGGCTGGAGGGGTTGGGGGGGAGGGGAGCCTGAAGATGGTGCACTTACAGTCGCGGATCCTCCTGATGAAGACCGACAAAAACTCTGGTTGGCTCAGTGATCTTCAGACGGAATATCCTGGTTGGCTGAGAAGGATTGTTTCCTGACGACCAGTCGTCTGCAATGAAACTGCAAGGGATGTGAAACTCCTTCCATGGCTTTGTTCCATCTCTCTTTACGCAGCAGACCGTCATTCCAATAAAGTTCTGCATGACGACAACAAAGGCGGACCCAAACCACACCCATTAGTCCATACGTCAGATTTCATTTCGGCATCAAAGCAGTTACAACGAAACTGCAAGGGATGTGAAACTCCTTCCATGGCTTTGTTCCATCTCTCTTTACGCAGCAGACCGTCATTCCAATAAAGTTCTGCATGACGACAACAACGGCGGAACCAAACCACACCCATTAGTCCATACGTCAGATTTCATTTCGGCATCAAAGCAGTTACAATCGGCCGACTGACCAGTGCTCGAGCCCACTAACCAGCGTGGAGGAGTACCAGGAATGCGGTGGCCGTTGGGGTTCAAGCCCCCCTTGTTAAGTTGTGGATACTGTCGATAGGGGCTGGGTGCCCTCGTGGTTGAGGGTCATATGCTTGGAGCAAGTGTGCGACGAGTCCCTGGGTGGCAGTGTTTTGTGTTTTGAGTTTTCACCACAACAGCCTCTCTATTTCACCCAGATCCAAAATCGAAGCAGCTTTAGTCCTATAGCGGACAACAAAAACACTACCGTTGAGACAATCCGACAATAAAATGGTTCTATAGCAAAGCAACACGGGGCACAATAGACGCATTCAAATCCCTTTCTTAACTGTGTTCACTTTGCCATTTTGGGTACCCCTTTCATTTGTTCTTGCAACTCGCCTTTTACTGTACCTCTCATGTACAAGGCTCGGCACGTTGATTGTGGTTGAGCGCATTCTGTGTGTGTGTGTGTGTGTGTGTGTGTGTGTGTGTGTAGCATGGTAATGACACTGCGGCCATGGAAGGCTGGGGGGAATATCATAACCTGTTTGGTTCGGCTTTTGTACACCGTGTCATGGTGGCAGTGGTTACGATGCTTGGTTTTTATGACCAAGGACACCAGTTTGACTCCATGCGCAGTTGCAAAGGAGGACCGAGGTCTATAGCACTGACCAACACTCCATGTGCAGTCACAAAGGAGCACCAAGGTTTATAGTACCGACCAATTTTCAGACAACCAACTACTCAAATTTGTTTTGTCAGTAAGCATATCACTCTGTTCTCTCTTCTCTTTCCCTTTTCCGAAAACAGGGCCTCATGGTCCCACCTCCTTCCCAATCCGCAGAGGCAGCAATCTTGTTCCAACAATCTTGCTCCTCTTCAACCAGAGAGCCAACTTTTTCATTCCTCCCTTATCCATAACAATGAATCAAAACTGGAACCATACTTATACGCGTCCATGTCCTGACGATCTGTCAAGGCGTGGTAAGAATGAAGAAGCCGTGACGATTTGCAAAAGGTCTGGTAACAGTGCTTGCAATTCAAATTCCAATGCACACAGATGGACACACACAATTCCAATGCACACAAAGATACAAAAAGAAGAAGCCAACTCACCTTTAGAAGATCCTCATAGGAGATCCAGAAACCATGATCCGACCCATCAAGTATCGGTTTGATTTCCTTAGTGACATGTGGATATTTTGTCCAGTTTGCACTTCTATGTGACCAGGCACCAGTCCATTTGAAGCTGTTCCTTGGGTCCCTCACATGCAGCAAGCGGTGCACTCCTCTTTCAAGTTCCCTCAGCTGCAAGAATCATCCAGCCGAAAGCACAGGTTCAGACCCAAAATTATGCCATTTCCCTCACGGAATTCTTTCTCATACAATGTACTCTCTCTCTCTCTCTCTCTCTCTCTCTCTCTCTCTCTCTAGTGTCTCTTTTTCCCTCCACCAAATCAGACTGACATTACCGCTGCAAAAGAGCCCCTACTTTCAAAAGTCTTCTGCTAGGTCCATAACGAAACCGAAACTACATATGACCCAAAGTTCCGAACCAAAAAAAGCCCGAGTTCACACACAGCACACTGCCAGGCAAAAACTGCAGCAAAACCATTCTCTTACAAAACTCACTCTGGGAGTCTGGGTGGGTTTTTCAGTTTGTCTGTTCAGTTTGGGAGGGGTTAATCTAAACACTGAAAAGTGGCAGCATCACTTTATCACTTGGGCCTGTTCCAACAGAAACGGCCAGGACCAGAACCCTTACACAGCGAACCTGAGATTGTGACACCATCTGCTTTGCAGATGACGTTCTGTGCAAACGAAGCAAACACACACAGAAGTTTTAAAATGCAACATCCACTTGCGACAGAGCGAGGAGAACCGGAAGAACAATTGGTAAATACTAAAAAGTTACAAAGAAGTTGAAAACTAAGGAAAGAAGTGGTTGCATTCAGCTTCATTGTGCTGACGCTCTCTCACAATAAAAGGCAAATTGTGTTTTTAATTTTTTGTCCCGAATAAGGTTCATACTACACACTACATTTGTCTTACCGAAGGGCCTAGCTCAGTTCGTACACCCGTCAGCTGTTGAAACACGGACCCAAGTTCGAATCCAGATGCAATCAGAATCAGAAGAACAGAATATAATAGTTGTGGCTTACCTGGGGCCCGCCAGTTCAATGATAATATCTCAAAGCCGTCTAGAAAGGAATTTGAAAAGGAAATGTACACTGGTCCCTGTACCGGCCCTTTCGCTGAATGGTTACTATTGTATAACTGACAACGAGCCCAAATTCAGACGGATACAATCAGATTAAGGGGTACCTAATGTCTTTGGAAGAAAAGTGAGAAAAAAAAAGGAGAACAAGCACGTTGTTCTGAAAAACGGACTCACCGATGTGACGGCAAATGCATGTGAATTCACTAGGGCTCCCTCCCTCTTCACTCCATTCTCCTCACACTCATCTGCCCCGGCAGCACATGCTGTCAAAATGAAACCCCTGTCGCAATATCCCTTCAACAAAGTCCAGAATCCTGCATTCAATAGCGGAACCCAAACAAACAATGGAAGGGGAAGTAGGGCCACATAGATCAATATCAATACTTAGAATAACAATCCCACCCAGTGGCAGGAACACTGCTTCCACACTTGCGCAGATTTCATTCTACCGACATAGAGATAAGAGTCCCGCCTAGGGGCTTTAATCTAATATTGGACCGTCGGACTTCAAGTCTCATGGTTTTACATACCACAATCTTCTAATACTGTAGGAACATCGACTCCAAATACAGCAAGGTCATACCTCTCACCTTCATGTCCAATCCACTATCTAATTCTCTCCTCCAGATCTCCCCCAGGTCTATGTGAGAGAGAGGGACAGATGACAAAGAGCTTCATGCTGAGGGACAGACGACAAAGAGCTTCATGCTAATTAACAATCACGACGAGGCCAGAGAACGGAGCTTCAGTGTGTGGCAAGACTTTCCAATCTTTACTAATTTGCTTGGATGGTGTTATAGCTATCATATACTCTTTCTTGTAATTTTGAATACTAAACCAACCTGTCCGTTGTTTTAAAAGACCCCAGATTCTCTCTTTCATTCCCTTCACAAATCATCACAAGCCATCCCTTAACGAAAAAGTATAGATAAGCCATATAATAGGAAAAAAAAAAAAAAAAAAAAAGGGTTGGCCACGTTTGTGTGGTTCAGCGCCGAATGCCCACACACCCGTCTGCCGCCAAAGTGGCACACTTGCACTTATACATATGTATATTATTGCATACATTCCAGGAGAAGGCCATAATTTACAAGAGCACTCTATTGTTATGGTTCGAGGAGGTAGGTAGAGTCAAAGATTTGCCTGCTGGTAAAAAATACCATTGTATTCGAGGAGTGAAAAACTTGCAAGGAATTCCTAATCGACATCATATATATTTCAAACCCCATAAGGGGATGGAGGGCAGAAGTCAACTTACCTAAGATGGAAGACTACTCCAGAGAGAGTCGAAGGTAGAGTCGCAAAAGAAGCAAGCATGGGCCAAAACAGAAGATGTCCATTACACAGACATAAAAAAAATGGGGAAAATCATCCGAAAATGAAAGATGACGTCAGGAGACGGAGTTGCGCCTTGCATCTTTTCATATACATCTCTTATCTTGGCTGTTGACTTGGTAAGGCTGGTTAGGGTTGCTGCTGGGCAATCTGTGCAATGACTACATTCCCATGCCCCTCCTCCCATACATGGAGTTCAGTTCATGCTGCGCCATCCTATTTAGCATCTGTGCTTTTGGTATTTTTTCCTGTGTGAAATGAATGGACTCAATGGAGGTCAGGTCATCAGCGAGCACATGACAAAGTTATGACCAGATCAGTGGGCAGGGCAAGCATGGAGGCACGAGTCCCTCGGGGTCTGGGCGAGTGTGAACGCAAAGGTTACTAGCGGTCAGGGCGAGTGTGAAGCCAGGCTCCTAGTCTTCAAATATGCCACCGGAGGAAAGTGTTTCCGGATGATAGTGAATGTAACTAACCTCCTGTTGACTCAAATCGTTGGAATTTTGTGCTCGTGAAGGCATATGTTATGCACGGGGCTCCTGTAAGGTCTTGCAGCACATCACTGGGAGATCCTCCAATAAGAGCTTCATATGATCCATGCAGCTTAGCATAAGCCTTCTCCATCAACATCACCCAGAGTTCGTTTGCTGACGAGTAAGCTGCATAAACACCAAAAGAATTGAAAAACGAAAAACAATTTATCTTCCATCAGCTGACGATCTAAAACAGCAAAACAGCAACAAGACGTGGCTGTGAGAAAGAGACGTAAAGCGACTGCAGAAGGGGGAAAAAAAAAGAATAAATAGAGAAGAGAGTTCCGGGGATTCAGCTGCTCCCACACATCGGCATATACTAACCATAAACAGACCAAGCGGCACCTTCCACAATGAATTCTTGAGGCTGGCACTCTTTTTCTTTCTTTTTTTTTTTCTTTTTTTTTTTTCTCTTCCTTCCTACATTACCGGAGTGGCCCAGGAGCAATTGCCCGGCCGTTCCAAAACTGAATTAAAAAAAAAATCAATTTCATATTTTAAATTTGGCAAAGACTTCCACTTTGTCCCGGAGGTGGAGTTGTCCAGTTCTTTTTTTTTTGTTCACAAGTTAACACCATCATTCTTTTCCAGGTTGGTAGCGTAGCTTCCTTCTTCGTCTCTTCCTTCCCCTCACTTCCCTTATTTTAAATAAGGGGGCAATGTCCTCAAGAGATCATCTTTGAACTGTCCGTCCTCATGTAAATTCAGCGTTAATTTCTACTGATCGAAATTCTATGGGAGTTCGAATCAGGTCTGTGTTACAGCAGTCCAGTTCACGGGTGTACCAATTGAGCCAGGCTTGCCGTCTTAAAAGGGATTAAAAAAAAAGAAGGAAGATTGAGGAAGGAACCTAAAATTAGCAACCACAAAACGGAAACAGAAATAATAGATAGAGAGAGTTTCGGGATTCAGCTGCTCCCGGACCTGGGCATACTTACCATAAACCGGCCGGAAATCCTTGGCAGGAACCTTCGTGTCGACTGCTATCTGGACCAACCTGAGCATCGAAGAGACGTCATGACAAACACAAGCAACAGTGCCAAAAAGAGCAGAGTTAAACAAACATGAAATGGCACTGATACTGTTGGAAAAAAAAAAAAAAAAAAAAAAAGGCATTCACAATTTCGCACCCCCTGAAAGACCACACTTGTTTTGAATGACTACATAGTACACACGTATGAGAGCCATTCACACAATTTCACAGAGATGGTAAATATGGGAGTTTCAGTAAAAGTTGTAAAATGTATTACCGACTCTGGTTCCGAACAAAAGGAATCCAAAATTTTCTTCGAATTCTCTTTGCCAGCTAAGGAAAACTCTGTTAGCAGTTTTCATTTTCATTGCAATATCAACTATTATCGAAGAACAGAGTTTTCCTTAGCTGGCAAAGATAATTCGAAGAAAATTTCGACGAACTCTGGTTCCGAACCCGAACAAAAGTTATTTTCTTCGAATTATCTTTGCCAGCTAAGGAAAACTCTGTTGCTTCAAAGGGAGGGTGCTGAAGGAGAACAACCTCCGGAGTCCACTGCGTCAATCTGTTCCAAAAGTTGTCGATTCAATATTTTCATCCCAGAGATCCGGCGTTGTTGAAACTTAATGCTCGTCTTAATATTATCCTAGATTCGCAGCCAACGTGAGTAACAGATGAACAAAAAGAGAGGCATACAACACAGAGTACAACTGAGGTCAATGGACCATTACTTGTCACTCAGAAACCTAGTTCATGGCTGGACGCAGTTGCAACTAAGTCCCGAAATCCGGTCCACCATGTCTCGAGCATGTCTCGAGCAGTTCATGGATGGACGCAGTTGGAACTAAGTCCCGAAATCCGGTCCAGCATGTCTCGAGCATGTCTCGAGCATGTCCACCATGTCCGAAAAATGGTCCAGCATGGCTGTAACATGTCATCGCTGAACCTGAGCGAGTGCAGCAATTCATAACAAGCCTGGGTCGAAGTGTTTTTTTTTTTTTCCCCATCTCTTTTTTGGGCCATGCTAATCTTCTCTGCATCGATCCGATTTTTACGGATGTCCCTAACGGTGCCTAGGTCAACATGTATTCTGTGCCAAATGGCAATTTCCGAATTTCCGAACGAGTTCCGATCGATGGCCATCTGCATGCCAAGGCATATCCTCTGACATTGAGGATCACGGGATGACGGATGACGTTCTAATAACCATCTTGGAAGTGCACACAATCGAATATTCACCATCCCATGACTACAGAGTACGCAATACCAATCAGATCGCTCAGCCTCTAACCACTCCACCTAGCTAGCGCAGAGACAAATCCTTGTGAGGTTGCAAAAAAGTTGAGATGAAGTTCACTTGTTTGCAGCAAAATATCAAAGCTTTAAGCAGGATACCTTCATGCTATAGCCTTTCCCCTATAGGACACGAAGGGTAAATTATGAGTACAATGGAGAAGGCTGTGTTCATCATTCTCCGTACCTTCCACTTTTGAAGAATCTCAGTCTGTACACACCATCATCTGACATCTCATTCTGCACGAAGACATTGTGCAGCAACACCGGGAATTCCGCAAGTGCTGCCACTGCTGAGAGGAACCATAGATCAGCCAACATGCCTTGTTTAATGTGGGATGGATCAAGTTTGCCAGAGAACAGACTTGGGTTGGAGAGCAGCCGTTCTGCAGGGACCATCTGTGCCCCATGCCGAGGAACAGGACTTGGTTGGTACTCTGGATCAGCTATCATACCAAAGGCCTCCAGACCCTTCGCTGGTGTAATAGTCTCCACCGCCTGCCACGGCACAGACTTCCACAGATCTGGAAGGTTCTCCTCTGCGATCCCTAGCGATTTTGCGAGAAGTTCCTCCTCTTGACCCTCTATGGAAGTGTTTGTGACCATGGCACCTGCCTGCTTTGGTTCCTCTACATCGACCTCTTCAAAACCATTTGCCTCAGATGGAGCAGCTCGTGCGTTTGACGATTCCGCGACAGCTGACGCAGTGGACTCCAGAGGTTGTTCTCCTTCAGCACCCTCCCTCGGTTTTCCCGCTGCCAGCAGTAGTGGTTCTGATGCTTGCCCCTGAGATGGGACAACCTCTGCCACCTCCTGAGCCTTGGGAGTACCATATGGGCTCCGCTTTTCTTCTGGCGGTACCTCCACAAAGCTGCCATCACCCGCTTCTCTTACGGGTGGGGGAGACTCAGATGTTACAGATTTCTTCACTTGCTCTTCCAGAGTAGTCTGAGGACGAACTGGCGTTCCAGGTTCTGATCCCCAGACAATATCAAGCTGTTCCCTTTCGGAGACTGGGGAATCATGCTCACTTTCTACTGTTGAGCGAGCGTCAGCTTCTGTATCATCTTCACCTAACTGTTCACGTGCAATACTGCTGACGGGCTCAAGATATTCAGGATGTTCATCAGATGCTGCACCCTCGACTGGCGTGACGGCTTCGGCAGGATGTTCGGAGGTCTCGACGGAAACCGCATCAACAGCATTCAGCAAAGAATCGCTTGTCACAGCACTCTCAGTGTGAGCGGGACCAATACTATCCAGAGCAGATTCACTCTGTACCAGACTCTCAACGGGCTCTAGTGGTTCCACATCAGGTTTGCCCTCCGTGGACCTTTCCACAGGCTCGAGCACCGGGCATACCTCCTTGGCTACATCATGCTGAGGCTCACATTTGCCTTCCACCTCCACAACCTTCCCAGGAGTGGCACTGGTTCCTACATTAGCAGTCTCCTCCTCACTGACCTTGTCATATGCGACAGGTTCTGGATAAGACGATTCAACAATCGGCACCTCCGTCTCCATCTCCTTGGGCTCCTCTCCTATCTCAAATACCGGTCCATGGAATGGTGCCACCATGATAGAGTCTGCAAGAGGATGCCTGACTACTCGCACAACTGGTTGTGGAGGCTCTGCTGTACATTCCGCCAAAGACTTTCGCTGGGCAATTGCAGCAGCTACATCTGTACAGTAAATGATCGGTGCCACTGGTTCTTCTCTATGAGGAGTAAGCGAGTGCACAGCTTGCTTTCCAGGCTCCGAATTCAGCAATCGGCGGATATCTGCCGCCGGCTGTGATGAGATTATCACGTCACGCTCTTTCACAGACTTCACAATATCAGTCGGTGCCTCTGCTAAGAGTTTCGCAGCAACTGGCTTTTCCGAGTGAACCATCAGAACAAACCGTCTTGGCAGGACATTACCCTCCGGATCGGGGAACTTGCATTGCTCTCCATCCTTGCCTGTGAATGAGAAAGCCTTCACCATTACCCGATACAAACCGGGCTCGAGCACGCAATCGACCTGACACGTCGCATCCTGCGTTTGCTTCGTTGCCAGATACCGATTCTGTTTATCCATCACCCAGATTCCAACCTTGAATGGTTCTGGTGCTCCAAGCCTGTGAACAACCGATAACATCAACAAACGAGCAAATCAACAGAACAACAGAGCATATGAGAAGTTAGCCTCCGCCCGGCCACAGTTCTCCCTTACCTCACTACAAGCAAGCATTGCCCTTGTCCAGTTTCTACACAGCAGAGTGACAGCAGCGCAGTCACAGTAACGTGACGTCTTGATTTGCACAGATCATGATGACACGCAGAATTACAAACAAATTGCAACAGAGGCCAACATACCATTTTCATTTCTTTTCATGTTGGACTCAACAACAGAAAGGCCAACATACCATTTTCATTTCTTTTCATGTTGGACTCAACAACAGAAAGGTCGCATATGTATGTATTCCGTAATCGGGTGAAATTAATTAGAAAAATAAATCGTCTGTATACGTGATCCTATGTGCGCACAACCTTTTTCTCTTATTTGCTTCGCCCTCTCACTCAACGCACTCACTCGAAGACTGGGAACTACAAAGCAAGTACAATAGAGAGCCATACGGTGGGTGGCTATCTCGCACGGTCCGGAGAATGACGAACCTTTGGTCGGAGGGGTAACCTACGAAGCAAGCAGAATAGAGAGCCGTAAGATAGGTGACCATCTCGCATGGTCCGGAGAATGATGAACCTTTGTCGGAGGGGTAGCCCCTAACCCCATTGTGTTCTTCTGATTCCATCAGGATACATGTGTATACCACACAGCCCCAGGGTTGAGAAGTCCTAGCAAAACCTATGGTGTGAACGAGTCCTCAGTAAGTATATCTCTTGGGAAGTTGCAAAAGCCTGTGGTATCCCAGGAAATGCCAGACATCACAGGACTTAAAAAGAAAATCACAGCCTATCTGTGGACTGGTGGTCCCCCTCAAGACAGCTGTTTATCAAGAATGGAGGGTGGAGTTCCATAACAAAAAAAATCACAAGGGCGGCAGATCAAATGGATCCTAGGTCTGGTGCTCAAAACTAGTCCCCTCCGCTTCACCTCTGATTGGATCTTCAGTCCCCGATGGCCTTATGAGATCCTCATCTTCTCCCTGCTCACAGGGAGGTCAACTTTTGGGTAAACCTGATACAAGGCTGAAGAAGGATTTTCCCGAAGGTCCGTCACAGACCACAACGGAAGTATGGAAATCATGAATTCTAAAACACACTGTCCTTGGCAACAAATGGGTTGTCAACGAGAAGGACAAACCATCCTCTCTAACCAAGGAAGATGCCATATGGGGACATTGGGTCGAGAAAGGGGTTTTGGCATTTAGGTCACCTTTTGGGAGGTGGGCGCAAACCAATAGAAATTCAGAAAAAGATAAAAGGCTTCAATAATCCAGGGGGAACTTCCAGCTGGTTGCAGACAGTCTCCCTCCCAAGTGGAGACAAATCCTAACATCCGCCAGACCTGCCAGTGACGATCGCTTCACCGACGGGAAAAAGAAAACTAATAAAAATCAGCGGATTGGGCTGTACTCACCAAGCGCAGTACAGCACCATAGCCCTTAGCGCAACAAGCATGGGACCAGCCATTAGCCTCACTCGAAGCAGAGTATTAGACTGTGGTGCAGTGCGAGGCAACGACACCCAGACAAATCATAGCAGACTCGGAAGGAATTTTCCGTCTAGTTGTTGGTGGAGGGAAAGGATAGGTAGATTGGTGGGGAACAAGCTCTGCCTCCGACGGTTGGGTTGTCAGGGTGGGCAGCAGGCACGGGACACGGACCTTGCGGTTCCGGAGTAGGGCCTCTCCTGACGGGGCATGGATGGCAGGACTCGGAATCGGCCATGTGACCGAGGAAGACACCGCCTGACCACGGTGGGCCTGCAACCCCCCCCCGCCCCCCCCCCGCAGGGTCTCCTGGGGGAAGTGCCATGTGGCATGGGGGACACGGACCTTGCAGTCCTGGAGTAGGGCCCCTCCTGACGGGGCATGGATGGCAGGACTCGGAATCGGCCATGTGACCGAGGAAGACACCGCCTGACCACGGTGGGCCTTCAACCCCCCCCCGGCCCCCCCCCGCAGGGTCTCCTGGGGGAAGTGCCATGTGGCATGGGGATGACCGTCGGCAGAGGAACAGCCAGACAACTGCATCGCTGAGGCAGAAGAGGGCGCAGCAAAGAGGCCACGCGATGTAGGCTGAGTTGGTGGGAGACTCGACAGAAAAACAAATTGGATGGTTAATGGTGACAGGCTTGGCATGGTATTCTCCCAGAGCCTGCAGGGTCCTGTCAAAAGCATAATGCTGGGTAATGGTCCCAGACCCGGTCTTTATGTGGGGTGGCCGGCCCCTTGCTTGTGTATTACAATATTAGTAATAAATTGGCTTGTTTTCTGTATTAAAAAAAAATAAAAAATCGGGAAAAGTATTCGGTTGGGAAAGGAGCCAGGACCCGAAGGACCAGTCTGCTTTTCTTTTCCTCATTTAAAACTTTGGTGACATCTGTTTGGGAGTAAACCGAGCTCGTTGCAACACTTACATTCTCGGGCTCTCCTGATGTAGTCCTGCAAACAGATGCGTTCGCTCTTGCACCTTCAGTCTGAAGACACGCGTTGGCTGAGTATCATTGCCAGCAGCAGACCAGTCATCCGCAACAAACGAGCACCCCATCTGCAGAACTTTCCATGGCTTTTTCCCATCCCTCTGTAGGTAGCAGATCGCAACACCCGCAAATTTCTGCCACACAAGAAAACACCTTGGAATCAGAATAACCAGCACAGCAAAGACAGTAAATTGGGTGGTCTACTCCTGCCTGACACACATCGTGACTTGTAGCAGTAAATCAAAATTACTTTTGTGAGACTTCTTGACCAAAAGCTGTCCGTGCTGCTCAAGAGATGAAAGGAACAGTTATAAAATGACACGCTAGTTCGAAGCTACATGTATCAAAAGATTCAAAAGATTCAAAACAGTTTCAGTTTTTCCAAATACGGGATAAAACTTCAAAAACGAAAATTCTAGCATACCTTCAGGAAATCACTATAGCCAATCCAAAAACTCCCATCAGACCCATCTAACATTGGCTGCAGTTCTTCCATAACTTGTGGGTGCCTTCGCCACTCGCTGCTACTGTTTGACCAGGCTCCTGTCCACTTGAACTTCCCCCATGTATTCCGCACATGGACCAATCGGTGACCATACAACTCCTTCACCTGCTCATCGAGCCAACAACAACATGCATCCACACCATTCAAGAGTAATGAGACACTGCTTTAAATTACGGCATCATTTCTCAATCTATCAAACGTATTCGACTTCGCAAAAACTGCTCATCGAGCCAACAACAACATGCATCCACACCATTCAAGAGTAATGAGACACTGCTTGCCGTAATTTCATGGCATCATTTCTCAATCAATCAAACGTATTCCTAGACTTCGCAAAAACAGCAAGAAATTAGTTCAAGTCTTTAAAAGTACTAAAAAAGGTGCTACTGACAAAGGTACACCTTGACGTAATAAAAAAACTAGAAAATAGAGTACGCGAGTTTGAAATCCCACTGTAGTAACCCTAATAAAAAGAGAGACTGAAAGACCAATACCATGTGCACGGCATCAAAAAAGCTTTTCTGGCATCCTGCCAGACGAGGTTGCCAAAAAGTCCCCACCCAGATATTTGTACGAACAGAGCAGAAGTACATCCCTGCATGTTCATGATACAGTCCTGATAATACAAGAAGTTCATGCGTTCACTAGCACAAGGAGATCAGATGTAACTGTTTTGGAACGGACAGCCTGAGGGAAAAACAAGTGAGCAGTGACGCTGCACTTACCTCCAGCACAGCATATGCACATGTATTCAAGAGCCCAGTGGCCTTCTTCTTGCCCTTCACACCACCATTAGACGCGCAAGCGATTGTCATGAATCCACTCTTGTGCGTGCTCTCTAGTAGAGGCCAGAACCCTGCAAACGCATCGCCAGTGTCATGGGTAAGCAAGCATAACAAATGTCTTCCCCGTACTCGAAACCGCACAAGCCGCACGGTCGTACAATGCTGTGCACCGCACGAAGCACGAAACCTGCCCATGCACCGCACCAGAAATACTGTCTGTTGACTCTGTTTTCTTTTTTATTTTTTTGCTGTTTTCGTAGATACAGATGAATGTACTACCACCCAAGGAACAGACCCCGTTCAAGTACAGTCGTACAAATCCTTGTTTTTGTCTCATTGGGCATCATAAACAGCCTCAAATAGGTCTTTGAGGCATCAGTCTTAACTGTTTAAGTGTTGAAACTTGAAATTGCTCTTCCATTTTTTCATTTTATTTTTCATCCTACAACAAAATTCCGAGGTGGACACTGATCCAGGCCTGCCATCCTTTTTTTTTTTCCTGGGTGGCTACGTCCCCCATGCGCCGGAAAAGTGTTGCTCGTCTGCCGCACGTGCGGAATTGCCCGCACGGCATGCGCTTGCATGTATGGTCTGCCCCTCCTCTGCGCTGCACGCTTGATCTTCCCACTCGACTATTAGAAACGCAAGCCAGAAAAAAAAAAAACACACAAGCAGCAGCAAGTAATTGCCATTGGACCACTGGTGTGAGTGATATCTGCAATAACCCATACCATATGTCTTGTGGTCGGCCGCCCTCAGCCCAGGCCGAAACGGGGCAGAAAGGACCCCACACGAGGACTCAGGGCCGGGACGTGTGACAGTTGACTTGCTCAACTGTCGTGACCCCAACAGTCAAAGACCAAAGGTACCTAGCCCAGGCCACTGGTCAAGCACACACACTTGTTTGTATGCAGGTACCCAGACAGCATCAGGTCCAGGGGAGAAGTCTGCAACTGTACAATCCAGGCCCTCAGCTGTGAGTCAATCTGGACGACTGTGGGAAAAGCACCCGAGGCCAGACAGCCTCGACAACTGCTACTGAAGGCTGGCCTCGAGTGACTCGAGCATTTAGTCTTGCTATGCTGCTTTGACGCTGGCTCGACTTTGACTAGAAGCTGGCATTATGCTGGCTCAATGCTGGCTAGACGCTGGCTGTGCACTGGCGATGTGGACGGCGACATGAGGTGGAGGCAGCATGCTGGCGCTTTCTGCATTGTGCGCCAGGCTTGCTGGGATTGCATGCTGATGTGGCGCTACCTCTGGTCTACATTGCATGCTGATGTGGCACTACCTCTGGTCTACATTGCATGCTGATGTGGCGCTACCTCTGGTCTACATTGCATGCTGATGTGGCACTACCTCTGGTCTACATTGCATGCTGATGTGGTGCTACCTCTGGTCTACATTGCATGCTGATGTGGCACTACCTTGGGTCTACATTGCATACTGATGTGGCACTGCTACTAGTCTACATTGCTGATGTGGCACACACGACTGGTCTCTATTGATGATGTGGCATGTGCCACCTGTCTCGATTGCTGACGTGGCATTGTCCACGTTGTCTACATGAGGTGACTGGTTGCAAGGAGGAGGAAGATCAGGATCTGTGGATGAAGGAGATCGGGTACTCACCTGAGGTTGACGTCGTCACTGGAATCTGCTATGTCTTCATGGTCTTCACGAGATAAAGTGCCACGTGGCACTACTGTGTGTGATCAGGATTATATTTACTATCATTGTTGACGCGGAGAAGGAAGAAGCCCAGAGAAGGAGAGGGGTCATTGTGTGATCTTTCATATTCTCCTCTGTCTGCTCCCCCTCCGCTCTCTTTGACGATTTGGAGACTTTGTTGCAGATAACAAGACTACTGATATTTGACGATTTCTGAGTATCTGTCAGACCGGGTTCATTACATATCCATTAACACTCAAGAAAATGACAGAGTTCATATGCGCATTGTGTAACTTACTCAAGAACAGCATGCTTTGGGTTCGCCGCAAGTAAACCATGTCTATCCTCTCAGGTAGAGGCAACTACACTGCAGCCGCTACCATCTTACCATATTATTACTATACACCAACTGCCTATTCGGCGTAAGAGGAGACTGACCAGGTGACCCACAAATGCGAAGGTGCTGATATTTGCTGCCCCGACCAAGCTCCCGATTCCCAGGTGACCCAGAAATTTGAAGGTGCTGATATTTGCTGCCCCAACTAAGCTCCCAATTCCCAGTGAGCTGGTCGTGAATGTTCAACTGAAAGCAAAGGCAACTAAACTGATTCTAGTTGGAAAATGATATAGCTTAGCCCTCTTCCAAATGACTGAGACAAAGGCAACAGCAGCAGCGCCAGCAAAACCGACTCTGGTTGCAAAATGACCGAACTCTGTTGGTCCCATTCAGAACGACCAGCTAACATTACAACATAGCTTCACAAAACGACTGAGACAAAGCCAACAACAACAACAGCAACAACAACAGGGTCGGCAGATCCCCAACTCTGGTTGGAAAATGGTCAAACTCGGTGCCATTCAAAACGACTGGCAAACATTACAACATGCTAGTCACTGACGTCAGATGAAGGATCGAACCCGATCTGCATTCCAACAGCTGCAGGCTAGACATACCTCCATCTGCTTCAAGGCGCTTGAACTTCGGATTTGAAAAGCTGAAACTGGCACATGGAGCACCAGTTAAATCTTGCAAAGCATCTACCGGCGACCCGCAACCCAATCGCTCATATGAGCCATGAAGCTTTGCATAGGCCTTCTCCAGAAGGCTTGGCCACAAGTACTCACTTGCAGAGGAGCCTGAGTGACGCAAAATTTGTACAAAGTGCCACAAACCCAATAAATGGCAAACCACTCCAGTAAGATCAGAGTATGAACATCTCTAAGCATGTTAAAAATGCAGCGTGCATAAACCAACATTGCTGTCAACAATGAACCTCTTCACTTACTCAGGTAATATTCACTAAAGAACCAGTACATGGGCACCTGGGCTGCCGGTGTCTGACACCTCAAATTCTGGAGGCGTGAAATGAAAACACGGGGACAACCTGAATTTATTAACGGCGGGCCCAGCGTTTGACATTTTGGCCTCGTTTTCTTGTCGCAACAAGTTTTGGACTGCAAGGCTGGGGCCGTCTACTTGTGGTTGACGATTGTAGTATCATTGTACCATCTGTCCTGATAACAAGTTAAAGAGCACTCCAACACAAGGTGTACGCCTATCAATTTCTTTTCGTTTACAATTTCCTTCCTGTGCATCAACTGAATGTGTCATTTAGAAAGGTACCTTTTCTGTGCTCCCGGGCATTTCCCAGGAACATGCTCGTTTCTGGAAGGTCCCACACGTTCTTATGTTTTTTTTCCTTGTGCGCTCAACTACCTTCTTCACCCCAAATAGAATTGCAGGTAACAATGGCCGTGTCTGCACTGGAATTTGCACCAAATACAGCTACAATGACCGGGTGTTCTATTCGGATGAAGACAGTAGGCTATTGTGGAACTTGCTACGATGATGAAAACAATTTCTTTTTTCTTTTTTAAAATGAAAAACAATGCAAGCTGCCTTCTCCTCATATGGGGCCCAACTTCATTTTTTACTATATATTCTTCTCTCAACATTCTTTTTTATTTCAAACTACCTACCCCGAGCTATGTACTTCGTGTTTACTGTCTTCCTACATCGGACTGAGGAACAGGCTTAACGAAAGAGTTTCAACATCATGAGAGAGGGTTAATGGAAAGCCCAAAATTCAGGGTTTTTCGCCACATCACCACAAACGAAGTCATTGAAAATTTCGCAATAAGGCTCTTCCATATTGCCTGGCCAATCAGAGATAAATTTCCAGTTACAAAATGTCTTCTGGGGACCACCACCTGTCGTGAAAGGGGGCCACTTTCTTTTTTATTTCAAACTACCTACCCCGAGCTATGTACTTAGGGTTTACTGTCTTCCTACATCGGACAGAGGAACAGGCTTAACGAAAGAGTTTCAACATCATGAGAGAGGGTTAATGGAAAGCCCAAAATTAAGGGTTTTTCGCCACATCACCACAAGCGAAGTCATTGAAAATTTCGCAATAAGGCTCTTCCATATTGCCTGACCAATCAGAGAGAAATTTCCAGTTACAAAATGTCTTCTGGGGACCACCACCTGTCGTGAAAGGGGGCCACTGGGATGGACCAACCCTTGATCAACCACCAACCATGTCTACGAGACGCAGTTAAACGGGCTTGTGAACGTGAGGCGCAGGTAGGATTAGGAACTAGACGTGTTTGGTCAGGAAAGAGACAGCACTTTCCTATGTACTGCGTTGAATAAGAGCGAACATTTGCTAAAAGTTTAGTTGGAATTAAAAAAGCAGCAGTAATCCGCTGAAGAATCCAATGTCCAATGTGCCAATTGTTCTCTATTAGCTTTCATTCGTTTACACCTTTTTTTACAACGAAGAGAATCTCGAGATATTCGATGTAACTAGACAAGCTCCAAAAAAGAACATAATAGTTCCGGAAGTGTACACTTTTGATAAATCTAAGCTGTGCCCTTATTCCCACAATAAATGTCGAATTCCGTTGCTGAAAAGTCGGAATAGACACGCTCGGTAACCTCTCCGGGTAAATCAATCTTCGCTTCGGGATTGGTTTCGGAGCGCCCATAGTAAGCATCTATTGATCGAGCTCACTTACCGTAAGCCAACTTTCCATCCTTCCAAGGCAATGTGCTTCTCACAGCCACTGTGACCCACCTGCACGGGTCCCACAGAGATGACAGAACAAGAATGAGGACATTGTGACAAAATAATGAAAACAATTCTCGTTCTGCATGCCATTTCCCAAGAACCATCCACGTTTGATGACATCAATATTCCATGGTCGACGAAGCCCGACTGATCAAGGCAAAACCAGACATCAGAAGTATAAAAAACTTGAAAAAAGACATCCTAGTCCCATCAAAAAAATTATCAACCACAACATCTTCCTTACCACAACCCACCTACACGACGGGTATCTCGTGACACACAGCATTCCACCTCAAACACGCAACTAACAAATTGATGAGAGGGTTGTGCAGACACGGAAGGGCTACACCAAGAATGTGTATCTTCGTTGGGGTCACACCTGATTACATGGATCGGCCAGAATTGAAGAGCTTATTGACAACAGGGGAAGAATTTAAAAGTGAGGTTGTTGCGACCTCCCAGCCACAGTGATCTTCTGTAGTCACAATACCACAAGCTATTCACAAGCAGGCGAACCATCACATTGTTATAAAGGATCTTATGCTATTCCAATGGTCATCCCATTGAAATACCATTATCAATCCCAGTCCCCTTCTGCATCTACCACAGCCTGTTGCATTCTTATGATTGCACTTTGACTTAGGCTGCAAACTGTGCAAATAAGTTTGCGAGTCGTGTGAACTTACCGTCCGGACTTGAAGAAGCGAAGCCTGAAGATTCCATCTGCAGGAGTGGTCTTGTTGACGAAGACCCTCTCCATGAGTCCAGGGAACTCTAGCAATGCTGCAACAGTTGATAACAACCACCCATCCTCTAGCAAACCCTGCTGTATATCCGCTGCCTCCACCTTGGAGGGGTAGAGCACCCCCTTCGTTGGAAGGAAGTCCTCAGCTTTAACAATTGACACATTATGTGATGGGACAATGGGCGGATCATATACAGCATGTGCTGTCTTCCCGTATCCCTGCACGCCCTTCGAGGGAAGCAGGTTCTCAGTTGCCTGCCACGGTAGAGATTTCAAGAACCTCCGCATGTCAGAATCAGCAATGCCCATTTGCCTTGCCACCTTCACTTCCTCCGTATCTTCAGCAATCGGTTCGACTTCCGCCCTCTCAACGATGGCCATTGGTACCTTTCGGCAACCAGTAGGAGCATATTCCATATCCAGAATGCGGGTCGTGTGCTGGATAGTCGCCCACCCTGCACCAGCTTCTGACACTGGCCTTGTCATCGACATTGAAACGCCAGGCAATGAAGATACCTCTGGGATTCTCCTTAGACGCTTCAAGATTTCACGACGAGGCTCAGAAGCTGATTCTGTGACCACGTCTGAATCCAGAGGCTCAATCAGTGGCTCACCAACTGGTGAAACTGTTGTCTCAGGTACGGCGTGCACTGTCTTCCTCCCGCTGACCATTGTCGGCCTGTAGACAAGTTGACGAACAACAGGTTCCGGAGCTTGGGTCTTTACAGCTCCAGGGAACAAAGCAGTCGGTTCTTGGTCGATCTCTATTGTGGCATCCGATAATCCTACTTCCGCAACTGACGTCTCTTTAGCATTACTCTCGGAGGCAACGGGCTCGCCCGATGCGGGCACTGTTGGTTCAACCACCCTCGGGAGGTAGGAGGCTTCACCTGCCGGTGCCTTGCCTAACTCATTTGGAGCATAAGCCAGCACCCCAACGGGCTCTACCAATAAGACTTCTCCACGGTCCGTTCCTGGATAGATGCTCATTCTTGGCGTGGGTCTCACACCAGGTGGTGCTCGCTCAAGTTCCAAAGTGATCGGACTCTCTGAGTGTAACGTCAGCACAAACCGCCGAGGCAAAACATCACCGGTGTGGTCTGGGAAGTTGCACACTGTGCCATCCTTTGTGGTGTAGTCAAATGCCTTCACAATCACCCTGTAGAAGCCAGGATTCAGCATAACCTCAATCTGGCACGTTGCATCATGTGTCTTTTTTGATGCAACAGGGCGATTCTCCTTGTCGATAATCCACACCCCAACTTTCAAGGGTGTCGCAACGCCAAGCCTGCATGACACCAAGAAAAAGTGAAAACCATTAAGCTACGCGACAACCATTGGATAAAATCTTCAGATATAAAGATCAATACTTTCCTTAACGAAAAGAGACACCACATTTGGTAGGAAACTAAGGAAAGATAATTAAAAAAAGCAGCAGTGAATGCAAGGCCGCCTTTCACTCACATTACTGACCGAAATAGACTCTTCTGACTTTATATCTTGCCTTGAGACGTTCCATTGTTCAGAAACTACGGCAGAGCCGTTTCCTATCTTGTCTACCTGCCCCAAGTTGCAGTCAGTATCCCCAAAGCATAGGCAACACCCATGGTCGGGGGAAAAGGTGCAGATTCAATTAGAAAGAAAACACCCGCAGTCGGTTGTCACTGGAAAAGGGCTGCAAAACAGAATCACCAGAGGACAACTGCAAAGAAAACACAATCAACTGGAGCAAAAGGTCTTCAGAATAACGACTTACAGTCTGATATCCTCTTGATGTAGTGCTACAAACACCTCAGTGGGCCCCAGAACTCTCATCCGGAAAATTCTTGTCGGTTGGGCCACATTACCATCAGCTGACCAATCGTCTGCGACAAAGGTGCACGGCCTCTTCACCTCCTTCCATGGTTTCAGCATGTCATGCCGTATGCAGCACACCGCAACGCCCAGAAAATGCTGCAGGGAAAGGAACCACACACCGGGATTGTTACATTGACCACTTACCAGCTATTGAGACGAGGATAAAGAATAACTACCATCCGTTCACAAAAAAACTTTCAGTCATCATGGTGAACGATCTTACAGAGAGCTCTCCCCTTCCGATCTCAACAATCCAAGACAGTACTGACTTGCACAAAGACGACCGCAATTTGAGACACCTAATAACATCCTCACAGATTCCTCAGGTAAATCCTCTGTCAAGTTCAGAGATTCTGAAGCAATCAGCAAGGTCGGATGCAAATCTCACCTAACAAGTGGATGCCCGCCACGGCTACGCCAGCAGCGCATAGTCACTCCTCCCCCTCCTGCCTCCCATTCCCCACCCACCTCCTCCTCCTCTTCCTCCTCCATGTTTGATGCCACATCATCTCCACCCTGCGCCCACGCCACCCTCTTCCTCATCCACGGGTATTTTTCTCCATCAATTGATTGACTGACTGATTGATTGGTTGTTTGGGGGAGGCGAGTGAGAGAGAGGGAGAGAGAAGTCTGAGCTGGGGTTGGCAACGGCTGATCATCAAAAGACGTGGAACGTCGGAAAGTCAGAGTATGCTCTCTTTGCCCAAAAAGAAGTTGCCCACCAGTAGTTACTTTCTTTTTACAAAGGGGGCATACTGCTCCAACTCATTATACACAGATGCGTGCTCGAATGCAGTTACGCCACATCAGTCCTGGATGCAGAAAGAAGTTGAGATCAGATGGAAGTGTTTGCCTTTTTCTTTGCTTTCGCCCCGTTGACAGCTTCTGTAGTTATGTCCGCGAAGCTCGTGTGCAGAAATTTACGGGGAAGAGGCCTCCTCTTCTCACTGCAGCAGGTAAAACTCTTTTCCCGATCATATTGTCATTCATGCCCTGATCACAACCCCTTATCCATAACTCTTCTCCTCGTCTTCGTCCTCCTCTTCCTCCTCCCCCTGGCACTGCTGCCTCTTCTCGGTTATCCGCAGCTTCTCGTCCTCCTCTCTGTCCTCCTCTCCCTCCTCCTCCTCCTTTCATCTTGCAAAGATTGGGTAAATAAAATACCAATCAATCTCATGTCCCGCGTCAAATTGGACTGCGCTCCGGCCTTCCGTAATCCCCTCTTGTCTGGCCACGTGTCACTGTTGCTGCTATGTGATCGATCCCGATTGCTATGTAATCACCCCCAGGCATGGTGGTTCTACTATGCCCAACAAAACCTCTCAGGTGAGAGAGAGAGAGAGAGAGAGATCCAGTACACCCCCACCCTGTTCCTCCTTGCTAGCGAATGTGGTCGCTACATCCCATGCAAACACCACAAACAGCAGCACAATGACACATCGGCTTGCCCCCATCTCCCCCTCCTATTCCCCGTTCTTCTCCCCTCGCCGTCATCACTGTTGGCTGTCAGCCACCTCATCCTTCTCCTCACCATTCTCCCCTCATCGTCATCAGCACCGTCACCATTGTCCTTACTGTCATCAGCATTGCCACCGTGCTCATCCTTGTCATCATCACCAACGTTGTCAAGCACGTCATTTGTTTCTGTGCGTGTGGTTCCGTGCATGTGTTTCTGTGCCCATGGGCCTCCCTACACTGCTCTTGACATGCACAAAAGACAAATCATCGTGGTGGGAGATCCGCTCTCGTTTTGGACATTTCAAAGAGTAGTGGAGCGATCCCTCGTGTGTGGGTGTATATGTGTGGAGGGATGTTGCTCGGTCCTAGTCTGCACATATGCTGGCCCGCCCCTGGATCGATCTCGCAATGCCCCCCGCCGGCCCCGCTTCGCGCCTGCCGACCGACCACCACTCCCAAACCTTGGAGCATGCTGCCACCACTTCGCGTCTCCCGACCAACTGCCCGTCCAGAAACTTCGAGCCAAGCATCCGGCCGGTGGCGACTGAGTCTTTCTTGGGCCGACCCGTGGTCCCCAACCTTCTTTCCCAACAATGGTGATCCCAGTCTCACGTGCGAGCATCACGTGAGACCCGCTATTCGTTTAAGGAGTGTAAGAGAAAAATAACTACCATCCCTTCACAGAAATTTATTGACATCATCATATCGAACGATCTTTACAAAGAGCTCTCCTCCAAAACGGTACTAACTTGCACAAAGACAATGACAATTTGAGACACTTAATAACATCCTCACAGTCTGTCAAGTTCAGAGATTCTGACGCAATCAGCAAGGTCGGATGCAAATCTCACCTTGAGGAAATCTTTGTATTCCATCCAGAATGTTCCACTGGACCCATCAAGTACAGGCTTCAGTTCCTCCAGAACCTCTGGATGCTTAGCCCAAGTGTCGCTCGTGCTCGACCAGGCACCATTCCACTCAAAGGTACCCAGTGAATACTGCACTTCTAGAAGTTTGAAGCCGAACACTTCCTTAACCTGCTCCATCAGAGAAAAAGGAGAGTCATTGCCCAGCATCCGAGGGGAAAAAAGACTACCTACAACTGCTGTGATGCATTGCCCATACACATCGACAAACATTTGCTGTTCACTTACATCACCGATGACACATACTGTGTGGCCCAGCTTCTCCTTTAAGCCACTGTCATCAAACATCAACAAGTCTCACCTCATTTACAACTCGAAACATCGTCATGAAGGTGCAAACTGATCCATTATGAAAAGCACATCCAGAACAATGACATGCCAAGCTGACATTTTGGTAGCCAACTGGAACCATCAGAAACAATGTGTTCTTGTTATTTTTGAGTGGCTTGACAACACGCCGACATAGCTACCCACCTGGGCAACTGCATAAGCTTGAGTATTGACGAGGATTTTCTGACCACTGCTCCGTTTCCCTTGGCCACACGCGACAATTATGTAGCCCTTAGAGTCAAAAACCTTCAACAGAGGCCAAAAACCTACAAAACAGGAGTTGAGCAACACATACAAAATGAGTGACACCTTACCACATACAACAACTGACAAAATGCCAACATAGGTATACCCATACCTGTACAAAACAGGAGTTAAACAGAACCAAAGCAACACGTACAAAATGAGTGACACATCGATTCACTGCATAAAACAGCTGAACAAATGCCAGCATAGGTATACCCAAACCTGGAAACCAGAAATAAAAGCAGAAACAGTTTTGACCTGCTCTGATGAAACGGGCATGAAGCATGAAGCGCCAAAAATATCATTGTGCTCAACTCAGAAACACGGTCCTACTGTTCAGGTCTACGCAAGTGCGCCACCGGTTAGCGCACGCCATGGAGCGCCAGGGACTAGCGCTTCAGCGGTAGCTCCGACGTGCGGATTTTTGCCCGCTCAGCGGTTCAAATTTTCAAACCGCACACCTCACCCTTCGACGCGGACGTCTGCCTGCAGCCTAACTTCCCACCACCGCGAGCTCCCGTGCTCCCAAGCCGCCATCGCCAGCAGCAAAGGAGAGCCCTGCCACACCAGGGAGCACCTTCAACTCCACGAGTGTGAAAGCCTACATTGCCAGATGTAGAGGAGCCCCCCGCCATACCTGGACGTCACGGGCCTCCAACTCGAAGCTTCCGGAAGACAACGGAGGTTCCTGCACTCTCGCAGCCGTCAACACGAAGCCGTCAGCGACAAGTCCCATTCTCGGAGGGATGCATGCAGTCCCCTGGACAGGCTGACAACCCGATCCGCCAGCAGCCATCACCAACAGAGGGAATCGTTCTCCACCTACCAGAAGACTCCCAACGCATCTCATGAGCCCGGTATTTCCGGACCAAGCCTGAACCACATCCTCCCTGCAAACATCCCCCAACCCCCCCCTCCCCCCCCCTACCCCTTCGAATAACTTCCACCCTACTCCTCTATACTAACCCATTCCCGGCGACCCACACCCCGCCCTCAGGCACAATCAATACACCACACGAGCATCCTTTACACCCCCCTGGATATCCCACTCCCACACTCACCCATTCAAGTGCCATCAAGGTCCGCCCCTCACAGCTAACCTCCCCTACCCGCCCTAATCCAAGCCCTATCACACCATCTCCTGCCCCCCTTTCATGGCAACAATAGCCGGATAAAGCTCACCATAAGCTCACATCATCGCGAAACCCATCTCCTGCTGAAAGCGCCTCATCTCACCCCACCTCTTCTGCACTTATGCACACTCCGTCTCTCCCCCCTCCCTCTGCTCTCACGACTCCAGTCCCCCACCCCATCTCCAACGATCCCCGCACACCCTCAGCCCATCCTAGTCGGTGCAACACCGTCGTCCCCCCCAACCTGCTTCTCTTTCTCGCCCGACAAWCCCCACGCATCTYGCRACACAAGACCCTACCCCRTYGCCCCGTCAGCCCTACTGTTCCAGCTTGTACCCTGCATTCAACACACACGTGTCTCCCCTCAAAACCCCACTCGCCCACATCACACCCACAACACAGCAAACGCGTGCCCACCCCACTCGAGCTCCCGCACCCAAACTTTGCCCCACACGATTTTCTCACAAGATATAACCTCCAAGTCACTATCCCTCACCATAAAGCAAACACACTCCGCAGAAAGGCGAGCATACCACACTCTCCTCCCCCCACTACCACCTACTACCCACTGTCAGAAGAAAAAAAAAAAGCCACTGAATCAGTTCCCCCCCGACAAGTGCTTTCACATTGATCAAGCAGGGTTCATTCCAAGTAGATACACACAAGACAATGTGATGACCCTGAATGAGGCAGCAAGGAAGGTTACTGAAAAACTAATGCAGGCGGCCATTCTATTCTTCAATTTCAAAAAAGCCTACGATCAAGTGAATTGAGATTTTCTCCAGAACTGCATGGAAAACAAATTTCAGAGAATGGGTCAGCGTTCTATATGGCGACGCCACGGGCAGAGTCCAAATAAACAGGATAGCGGCAGACGCCTATCCGATATCAAGGTCCGTCCGTCAAGGTGACATCTAGCTCCCCCCATCTTCCTGTTCATCATGGAGGCCATGCCTCCTTCCTCCACAAAGACCCTTCTATAGACCGCCTCACCACGCAGAACTACGACCCCCTTCACAACTTCGCTCTGCCGACAGCGCTGATGTTCGCCGACGATCTAACAGTCCTCATTCGTGCCAACAACTCCTCGTTCCACGCCCTCGTCAGAGCCATGAAAGCCTTTCGACTAGCATAAAAAATGAAGGTAAACTGGTCCAAAACCGAAGGTTGGTGGTTCGCAGACAGCACCCCTCCCCAACCTCCTGATCTATCCACCCCGATGTCCTGGTCCACAGGCGACCAAGCACTTAGATATCTGGGAACCATGGTCAACAAGGACAGCACATGGCCAGGGATGGGCCAAACCTTAATCGCAAAGGCATCCCTGTCTGGCAGAGCACTTATTATAAACACGTCAATATCATCCATGCTATGGTACATGGCCTCCGTTTGGTCCCCCCCCGACGAAGAAGTCAAGACTCTCAAGGCGCGGGTCAGATGTTATTTATGGACGGGCGACCCCAACAAAACTACCTGCATAAACAAGGTTTCCTGGCAAGTTGTGATTAGGAAACCGCAAGGAGGACTGGGGATAATTGACCCTAGACAGGAAACTATCACCTTGCAGATGGAATGGATAATTAAGATTCTCACCAAACAATTCCTCCCATGGACGAAATTGGCCTTGGACCAGTGTTGCACACCCCGACCGTCGGCAACCCTTGACTGGTCAGCCGCCGACCCACCGACCGGTCAGCTGGTCGGCACCTACTGGTCGGGGGTCGTCGGCACCTACTGGTCGGGGGTCGTCGGCACCCCGCATTTTTTTTTTTTTTTATGGGGTCCAGAACCCCTAATAATATCACCAACACCCCCATAGCGGGCCCCAATACCCCATATACCACCCCAACAGCCCCGAACAGCCGCCAACACCCTTGTTAAACTATTCATGACCCCCTATATCACCCCTATACTACGGCGCATAGCGTGCGGGCGAGCTACGCACGTGTGGTGTCTAGTGCACGCGCAACCATGCGCGCGCGCCGCGCACCCCAATAAATAGAGTAAAAAAAAAATTGGAGAGGGCTGGGTGATGTTGCCAATGGTGCCCCTCCCTTCTAAAATGTCGAAGGGCACAGGAAACAAAAATGAGCACACGTTTTCCTTGTTGAATTGTCTTTTTCCCGAAGGACCCCAGTGCATCTGCAAAGGTCCCAATGTCTCAAGAGACGTTCAGCAAATTTCATGTGAGAATGGAGCAAGCCAGCAATATATGTTCTGGATCCGAAGTCAGGTCTGCTTTCCAGCAGTTATGGGTTACACGTTACAACTACTTACTACCGTAGCTCTCTCTTTCTTTTGTTTCGTTTTCCTATGAGCAGTGGCCAGCAATATATGTTCTGGATCCGAAGTCAGGTCTGCTTTCCAGCAGTTATGGGTTACACGTTACAACTACTTACTACCGTAGCTCTCTCTTTCTTTTGTTTCGTTTTCCTACGAGCAGTGGCCCTAAGGGCGTTGCTCCACTCGTCACTACTTGCACAAAAGACAAAACATATGGCAGCGTATGGGTCCATGTTCTAGCCGAAGATTCATTCCTCTCTTTCTTTTGTTTCCTTTTCCTACGAGCAGTGGCCCTAAGGGCCTTGCTCCACTCGTCACCACTTGCACAAAAGACGAATCATATGGCGGCGTATGGTTCCATGTTTTAGCAGAAGATTCATTCTAGTTTTGCACATTTCGTGAGTAGTGGAGGGAAGCCCTGGAAAGCACGTGGTGAGTTAGCCTTCTACTGCCCAGAAACTTGCCTTTTTTTTGTTTTTTTTTTAATCTGAGCTGCAGGTATGCTCCAACCCCAACCCCCCCATACCCAAACGTTTCTCAACGGATTTGGGCTGTACTCAGCAAGCACAGTACAGCCCCCAACTCAGATTCGAAAAAAAATCAGTGGATGGTTGTTTTCTGACTGGTCGGCAGACCGCCGACGCGCCAGCCCTACTGGTCGGCTGCAATACGGTCGGCGGTCGGGGTCGGCGGTCGGCAGGGGTGCAACCTTGCCTTGGACAGCAACCTCGCTCCAATAAGCTCCCCATCCAATATGCAAGCCCCCTTCTGGATTATGGCCAAAGAATGGTCAATCAAAACAGGGAGGACAGCAAGAAGAACCCAGCAGCAACCAACCAGTCAACCCACCCCCTCGACTAACCCATACTGGACGCCAACTCTGAAAGCCTGGAGCCGAATGATGCCCAGCAAACACGAGGCACCAGACAACCAAGAAGAGGTTCTCCGACAACCCCTCTTCTGCAACCCCTGGATCAAAGACACAGCAGGTAGCCTGGCGCCGAATGATGCCCAGCAAACACGGGACACCAGACAACCAAGANGAATGATGCCCAGCAAACACGGGACACCAGACAACCAAGAAGAGGTTCTCAGACAACCCCTCTTCTGCAACCCCTGGATCAAAGACACAGCAGGTCACCATTGGTCACTCTAAGCGAGAGATAGGAGATGGCTCACATGGGTGGAGAGGGGAGTATGGCAGCTCAAATACCTATGGTCAGCGGAACGGAAGGACTGGTTGACGGCCCAGGAACTCCAAACCTCCCTCAGGGGATGCCACGCGCTTGAAACCAACTTAGCACCGATGCATCACAGCATCCCTGCCCAGTGGGTAACGCTCCTCAGAGAAACATTTATTTAGAAAACAGGCGATTGGGGCATACTTATTATGCACACTCCACCTGAGACGGCCTAGAGGTTTCTATCTAGATCAGACTCTTCAAGCTACCGATCGAACTTCTTATCCTACCCTATAGCCAACCATACTCTTCAGTAGCTCGTAATCCAGAACGAGGACCCCCAAGCTACACGACTAGAAACCTTCCTTCTCAGGAAGGTCCGAGTCTCCCAGAACAGACCATGGGTCATATCCCAGTCAGAACTCAATATCGAAGACCTGGAATTCGACCCCAAGCGAATGGAGGTGGAAACAGGGCACCCCAGGGAAGTCTAGAACAATCTCCCAATACGATGCAAAACTCGGCTATGACCTCAGACGACCACAGATCCAAATCCAAGGTTGGTAGAGAAATGGCGGACCAGCCTGAATCTGGACCCCCCGGCCCAATCCTCCATCCCGTGGGCCAAATACCTTCTAACCAGACCAGTTCGAATTCGAAGTATGCAATGGCTCCTTGCACACTTAGCCCTCCCGGTCAACCAATGGCTTCACAAAAGAAGGAAACACTCAGACCCGAACAGCTCTGAAATCTGCTCGATGTGCAACAAAAACACGCCTGAAGATATCCCACATTGCCTACTCTTCTGTCCTGAAGCGACCTGGTACTGGAACAAAGTTCAGAAACTGTGGTCTAACCTCTTCTGAGCCGTGTTGTAACCTCTTCTGAGCCCCACCCCCCAACACTTCCCCCCTAACCATTCTACTCCCGATCACTCCCGGGCGGCTCAAGGGCAGCAGGGATGTCTGGTTCCAGTTACTCAGAAAGCCAACTTTCTGGATCATATGGAAACGACGATGCACACAGACAATTCTGGGAGCCGAGGTGGCAAAGGAAGAAATGTGGACTCTCTTGATACACATGGCGGAGACCGAAATCCGGAGCAGATGGCTGACGATATCTTCATCAGCGAGACACAGACCAGATAAGCATGCAGCTAAGAGACGAGCATTCCTAAAGGACTGGCTAATAGAGGGCAAGGTGGCCACTATACCGGACAACAGACTGATATGGAAGAAGTGGTATCAAGGGTAACGGAAAAGCGACAACCAAACTTGGGAGTCCAAGACCGAAGATCAGTACAACAGGCACAGGAACAAGCAGGCCGATAAACAGGTTGTGAGAAAGCCATACGTTCACGAACTTCAGCAAAACCTCTCACTTCTCTTGTTTGTTAGAGGAATATCTGGCAGGCCTATACAGCAGCCTGAGAGGAACGAGTTGAGAGGGCAAGCTGACAGTCAATCCTCCTACAAGGGAGTAATCAATGCTGGTCAGGGATCCTTCAGCCTGACGGAAGGAAGCGTGAATGTGTATTACATGTAAATCCTTAGACTTGCTGGGGGAATAGGAACCGGACTGACGCTCCCCAGAATGGAAAGGAGCCCGGACCATAAGGACCTGTTTTGCACAAAAAAAAAAAAAAAAAAAAAAAAAAGAAAGAAAAAAGAAAAAAGAAACACGGTCCTACTGCCCAAATACCAGCAAGTGCAATCCCGTCATGCTGGAGGCTAACCTTCAGCCAGAACTGCAATGATCTGCCGCTCGTCACCCAGCCGAAGATTAGGGAACGAGTCATGAACTGCAACTTTCCAGCAACTGATTCCCAATTCCCAACTCCCTGATTCCCAACTCCCTGACTCCCGTGGCAATGAGTAAAAACTGAAACATTCAGAAGCAACAATCACACTCGGCGTATTCGTCATATTCTCTTGACTTGCCGGTGGAAAAGGAACCGGACTGACGGCCCCCAGAATGGATATGGAGCAAGGAGCATAAGGCCCTGTTTTTTTTGGGGGGAAAAGAAAATCACACCCAGCAAGGGTACATTGAGCTCTATTCACTTTCAAACATCCAGAAGTAACTTACCATCGCCCCCTTCTAGTTGCTTAAATTTTGTGCTCGCAAACGTGAAGGTGATGCATGGCGCCCCAGTGAGATCGTGAAGCGCATCGCTTGGGGAACCCTGATTCAACCGTGCGTATGAACCATGAAGTTTTGCATACCCCTTCTCCAGAAAGCTCCCCCACAATCGGTTGTCTGGGGAATGGGCTGCAGGCAATACGACACAACATCATACATCCATGTCAAATTGTCAGAGAAGCTCTCCTCCAAAACTGTACCCAGCTTATGAAACTGTGAAAACTGTGAATGTGGGAAGTTGGGCACCACTGATTGGTATATGAAGCCACGGAGCATTCACCCAATAAGGACCTGAGACAAAAATGGCACAGCATGAATGCCACCAAAACTGACACACGGCCAAAGCTATACAGACTTCCGTACCGCGGGGGACCAATGCTGTATCAGAGGTTAACACTTCTTCATGGCAAACTGTGCAGTGCCCCAAAAACTCGCCGAGTGCTGCCAAAAACATCAACTTTTTACAACTTTTTCTCCACTTGCACGAAGTTCTAAGAACACAAAACGTTTGCACAAGATCCCTTGCACAAGTAGCTTGGAATATTTACCTCACAGTGGCTTACATACTTGTTCTTTTCAAGATTTGGTTCTTTTCCCCCCTCTTTTTCCTCTTAAATTTATTTTCTTTCCTGATTTTTTTACTGCACACGCACTATCTGTAGGAACAGTGATGTGGGGGCTGCATACCACGTGTGCACACCTTGTGATTGTGGTCCACTGTTACTATGATTCAAAATGATTCCAGAGCCTTCATCTGATTGATCAAAAACTCGAACCCCATAAATGATTCCTGAGAAAACCCATACACTCACGAAAACCCAACCATTCAGAAAATCGCGTACAGAGATGAATTTAATACCCCAGTCATCAAAATTATGACAAGATGAGTACATACCATAGACAAGTCTCCCATCCTTGCAAGGCAGCTTAGTGTTCACAGCAACCGTGGCCCACCTGCATAGGGGCACAAAAAAAACCATCATCAGACGAGAACAACTGCATCTCGCTACTCATCTCCTGTTCCCAAGTGGACAGTCCATAGACTATATTAGTATATTCACTATCCATTCTTGTGTAAATGTACATAGGATATGGCATTGTATGATTGCAGACGAGGAGATACTTGTTTTCTGACAGTGCGACAAAGCAGGATAGGTGACCAACCCAGTGAATGGCCAGTTTACCCCATGAACTTCCAGGCAACATCACGATCCAAAGCGGACAAAGCCGAAGGCTTCACCAGAGTTTGAAAAGGAAACACGAGTGGATCTCGTATACTCTACTAATGTTTTCTCAGAGAGAAAGGATTTGTGTTTCTTGCCTCGAGGCCTGGGAAACTCTATCCTGCACGTTTGCCCAAGCTGAAGATTCTGCATTAAAAGTTTAAAACAAACAAAAAATGGCATTCCCTCCCCTTGCCTTCTGCTTAATCCTCCCGGCTTTGGAATCAAGTTTGTTGAGGATTCTTCTTTCAGAGAAGCGAAGTAGAACAGACCATCTCCTCAGTTGTCATGCAGTCCTCTGCCCAGAAATATTATTGACATTCACATTGGGTAGGAGGGAGTTCGTGTTTACCTTCCACTCTTAAAGAACCTCATTCTCAGGACTCCATCATCCGCAGGGTCCACAGGTTGCAGGAAAAGGCGTTCGATGATGCCCCGGTATCCAGCAAGCGCTGCAACTGACGACAAGAACCATCCATCATCCAGTTGGCCCTGCCTTACGTCCTCTGGATCTATGCCATTCCCAAAGAGGTCGGCATCGGGCAATATCTGTTTGGCCTCGACCATGGTTGCGCCATGATGCTCCACTGTAAGTGGATCATACGAGGCGTCTGAAATAATGCCATACTCAATCCCGTCAACAAGGTCAAGTGACATTGCTGCGTGCCACGGCAGTTGCTTCCGGAAGAGGCTGAGCTTGTCATGAGGAATGTGCAAAGCCTGTTCTGTTTCATCAGGTTCCAGTAATGCGTCCTCCACTACTGTCCCACGCTCCTTGATCACAAGGCCAGGAGGTTCAAGATCCTGTCCTCCAGTGAGCTCATCGGGAATATGCCCGTCATCGCCCATGCTCTCACTCCGCTCACTGATTTCAGAACCCGGTTCTACCAAGTCTGAGAGAAGACGTGCAGGAGCGCGAATGGCAGGCTCTTGCGATGTCTCATCCTCTGGTTCCAAGAAAGGCTCAGTATCTGGCTCTTCCCCTGTCTCCCCCGGAAGCAAACAGTCCTGCGGAACAACCTTGATCGGCTCCGCATCCACAGTCGGCTCAGGGTCGAGTGGTATCTCTGAATCTTCCTCCCCGATCCCAACAGGAATCTCTGTCTCTGCTCTCACCATCTTCACAGCAACATTAACATTTCTCTCGGCGAGGACAGCCTTCACCTCAACAACCCTAGGAGCAACATCCTTTTCCATCGTGCCTTCCACTGTTGCTTGTGTGTTAACAGGAATCTCCCTCAGCACAGAAAAGACCTCACGTGGTGCGGTTGCGGACTCTGGATGAAACAGGACGACCTGCTTATTGACCGGTTCCAGATTCCCTGAAGGGGGCTTCCCTTCATGATTCTCCGGGAAGGCATACATTTCCCCTGCCGGGTCTCTTTGCAACAGCGTTGCAGGTACAACCACCACCCTCCGCAGAGGAGTATCAGATGGAGCCATCTTAATCAATCCTGATGTCACCACCTTGTCTGAATGAATCGTCAAGACAAACCGCCTGGGCAAGCTTTTACCACTTGTGTCAGGAAACCGTCTAACCTGACCGCTTTTTGTTGTGAATGTAAATGCCTTCACCATTACTCTGTACAACCCCGGATCCAATATTGCCTCAACCTGACAAGTGGCTTCAATTGTCTGCTTGGATGCAAGATACTCATTCTGGTGGTCCATGATCCATATTCCAACCTTGAAAGGTTCTGCAGCACCCATCCTGTGAGAAACGCAACAACACAACAAGAAATCAACAGCCCTGCAAAAAATCCTGCAGCCCTTGAAGGTCTCTTTCACTCCTTGAGCTAGAATCAAACACTTCTCAACAGGGTAGTGACCACCCTTCTCAACAACGTCAAACCACAACAGTATCAGATCACCAAGCGTGGTCCATAATCCAGGATCACAACCATGAAAGGCTCTGCTGGATCCCACTCCGTGATGCAGCCACACATGCTCAGCCAATTAAGAGAAGAGTCGGGAGGTGCAAAGCGATCCTTGCAAACAGCGTCCTCTGCCGACCCCCATACACAGACAAGGCTAAGGTTTGGAGGGGTATAACGCATGACCGAGAACTATGAACTGTAGTACTTAGGGCTGACGTTCCGCACACAATATTGACAGCCTTGCTCAGCATGCAGCTTCGTAACTAACCCCTTCCACTGTTTGGCAACATATAAGTTTCACGATAAGCAAAGCTGGGTAATGCTCCCAGTAGTTCTGCTGTATTGTTCTGTATAAGGGACAGTGGAGGTGCATCTCCCCACCACTAGAAGGCCTTAATCCCGTTGGTTCTTTAAACTTCTTTTACCACCAGGGGACCGCAGAACATCGACGGATGTTCAAGAAGATAATCACCAACCTTTCATTTTACATCACAGCATACCAAAAGGAGATCAGCGCACATACAGGGTGACATACAAAAACCAGCAACGAGCTCTGAATCACAAGCAAGGGACTTGGCACGCTACTTTCCCCAGACATCCATGTCACACTCACTGGGAGGACTTGAGAGCCCGAGCCCAAGGTAGGACCCAAAACTCAGGAGTAAGACAGCCTGCAAAGAAGCAAGGGGCTGAGAAATGATTCCAAAGAATTGGGAAGGCAAGTCCCAAGACCACGTCAGAAGTCGTAAAACCACTTCAAGTAACCCTGGTCTTTACACACCTTCTATTACAATCTACAACCCTAAGTGTATGTAATGAACATCATAACCTGACCGGCACAAAACTGACTCTACACGAAGGAGCTACAACGAATAGCCAGCTGCTAGAACGAGAATCCTCAAGAAAAGTCTAACCAGTGTCTACATATGTCGTTCAGTCTCAAGCATGGCAGCCCTTTGGATAGGTCACAGTTCGAGCATGGCAGCCCCTTGGATAGGTCACAGACATGAGAAATTGAGAATGAAAAAAAAAAAAGCCTACAAATGTCGTTCAGTTTCAAGCATGGCAGCCCAAGGTCACAGTTCGAGCACGGCAGACCCTTGGATAGGTCACAGACATGAGACATTGAGAACGAACAAAAAAAGCCTACAAGCATGGCAGCCCTTTGGATAGGTCACTGTTCGAGCATGGCAGCTCCTTGGATAGGTCACAGACATGAGAAATTGAGAACGAAAAAAAAAAACATTTGTCATCAAGTTTGAATTTGTGCAAAGTGGGCCAGCGGCCTAGCTCAGTTGGTTGAGCATGCGAGTGGTATTCAAAAAGCCATGGGCTCAATACCCCACAGCCACCTGCGGTGGGCTTGGCTTGATATTTACCAGCTGAGATAGTTGGCTTGCCCCGCATGGCTGGTCTTGGGAGGAGTCTGGGTTTCCTGGACCCTTGCTCCTGCCATCCATCGCTTAAGGTTCGGAGATTAGGTACTATTCCATGCATTAGAGTAGAGGAGATGGACACATTCTTTCTTTTGATGTATAGACATAGCCTCCCCGTCAGTGTATAGACATCTTGGACTAGATGTGGGTAAGATAAGGAGAGGTATTTAGGTAGCTAGTGTAAGGTGGAAAACTTGACAGAAAAAGATAGCTTAGTTTGGGGGAAAAAAAATTAAAAAAAATTGGTGCGAAGTACTGTTCACCATAGAACGCAGCTGTGAATGTCCATACTTACATGCGAGGATCTTCTTGATGAAGTGAAACAAACATGCATGTTTTAGATGACACCTTCAGTCTGAATATCCTTGTTGGCTGTGATGTATTGCCTGACGAAGACCAATCATCAGCAATGAACGTGCAGGGAAGCTGCAGCTCCTTCCAGCTCTTTGATGTGTCCTGCTTTACGCAGCAGCCAGCGATACCAGCAAATTTCTGCGCGCAGGAATGCATGTCAACCATTATCCATAGTGTCAAAAAATGTTGTGACAGGATGTAAACTTGAACGTTGGGAGAAGGAAATCTCACACTCGATCGGACTGACCAACATCATCCTTTACCACTATGAACCTCTGCATCAGGCGACCGACCCGCAATGCACACAAAGCTTTCCTGTTGATTGAGTGGCTAGCGGCAACTCGGTGACTACGCTATGATAACTGCAACTTTGGTGTCAAGAGCAACTCTTACCACCATGAGCTTCAATGCCTCTGAAGATGACTGTGGTTTCACAGCCAATACCAACCGGGATATCAAGGGCTCACCACAACAAAAGGAATTCCAGAGGAAGACTCACCTTAATAAAGTCTCTATAGGCCATCCAGAATGAACCATCTGTTCCATCCAGCACAGGTTGAATCTCTTCTGTCACGTCCATGAAGTTTGACCACTCGGGACTGTTGTCAGACCATGCACCGTCCCATTCAAACTTTCCGAAGGGGTCTTGTAGATGAACCAGTCGGTGACCATGAGACTCCCTCACCTGGAACATCACACAAGCAACCAATTAACGCAAGCTAAATTAATCAGTATATGAACCAGTCCAGAACTTCATGTCATTAACTCCCACAGGATACCCAGCAGATACCAAATGGCAAATGCTATGAAAGCACATGTGAGGACTTGTGAGCCTGAATGAAATATTGCTGAGCCACGTTGTGCATGATGGGGTGAACTGGCATTGGTTGCTGCCAAACGATTTACCCTATGGAAGTTCAATACAAGGACTTGCATGCAGACACAAAAAGACAAAGACAGCGTTTACTAGGCAGAGATGGGGTTCTGCGGGCTGACTTCGTGAGCACACGCACACAGGTGAGAAATACGATCGCCATTTTCTCCAACAACCATTCCCTCCATTGCACGTCTGGTGAGTGATGGAATCATGCTTTTATTATCGCAATTTACAAACATACAACTGCTAGATATTCCGCAACAACGAGAGGCAGTTAACGGAGACCCAAAATTTCAGCGTTTTTTGAATGCTATTTATAAGAAAACCAAAAGCCCTTTTGAACTAGGCTACCAGCCGGGCCGCCCGGGGCCCCGGTGGCCAGCCCGTGCAAGGACCAAAGAAAGTCCCAGCAAAAATAAAAATAAAAAAATAATCCAAAAATGATGGTTTAAAAATCCGAAGTACTATGTTCGGCCTTTTGGCTAAGATCAAGTGTAGTATCTGTTCTGATCAGTTTAATATCTGATCCGTGGTCCATCCGACAACCAAAAAAAAAAAAAAAAAAAAAAAAAAAAAAAAAAAAAAAAAAAAAAAAAAAAAAAAAAAAAAAAAAAAAAGCCTTAACAACTTTTGCCTCATGTCATATCGAAATTACCAAATTTAAAATAAAAAATAATTTAAATAAAAGAAGAAAAATTATAAAATATTTGTTTTTAAATTTTAAGTTTTTATTTCATTATTTTTATTTTTTTGGCCCGGCCGGGCAAGTGACCACGGGCCACTCTGGTAGCCTAGCTTTTTAACCAAAAATTCCATCATTCAATAGAGTGCACACCATATTAACAAACCATTAAAAAAAACGAAAACAAAACATAAAAACAGGGTGAAACAGTAAGGCAAAAGTGCCCTTGAATGTAGATTATGTTTCTATGATGGCACAGGAACATGCTTATTCTTTAGCTGTAGAAAAACTTTGTAATTGTGAAGTACCATTACGAGCTCAATATGTACGAGTGTTATTTTGTGAGATTACCCGGATCTTAAATCATCTACTTGCATTAACCACCCATGCTATGTGGTGGAAATTCCATAGGGACCCAGAATGTGGATGTAGGAGCATTAACCACTTTTCTTTGGGCTTTTGAAGAACGAGAAAAATGGTTAGAATTTTATGAAAGAGTTTCGGGAGCAAGAGTACAAGAAGAATGTCCAATCTTTTCTCCATTAATAATAACAAACTCTTTTGTTTGTCTAAATAAGTATACGTTTTTTTTGCTACTTTTTGAACAGGCAGATTACCATAAAAAATAGATAACTTTTTAATCACTTGTAATTTAGATACTTTTTAATCGCTTGTAATTAAGATACTCGTAGTGAAGAACTCGCTGCGAAGACTCAAGCTCGTCGTGGAAGGGGATCACTGGGAATAGCCAGCCACATTTCGGATTCAGCGAATTTTCAATTTTCAGAATTTTCAGCGGTTTTGGAAATGGTCTTATCACTGTTATCAGAGGAACTTCCAGTGCTCCAAATGAGACCAAATTCGGTACACAACAATCTTGAAGTAAGACAAAAACAGGCAAAAAAAAAAAACAACATAAAATTTCACCTCCAAACCCTAATTTCAGTTTTGGACCTGTTACTCAGGAGCTGAAACTGGGGTTCCCCCGTTAACCACGTGTGGCAACGACATGAAACATATCTTGGGAGTGTTGACACCACCATGATGAGAATACTGGTTAACGAAGGTCCACACACATACTAACAACAGACACACAGAGAGAGAGAGAGAGAGAGAGAGAGAGAGAGAGAGAGAGAGAGAGAGAGAGAGAGAGAGAGAGAGAGAGATGCCACGGAACACGGGGTGGAGAAATAAAGATCCATCCGCATATGTGAGTGCTTGAAACCTACCTCCAGGATGGCGTATGCATGCCCGTTGACAAGTCCATTCGTCCTTTTTGCAGGGCTGGAGGAATCAGAGTCGCTTGATGTGCAGCCAGCAAGTACATAACCCTCCTTGACATATTGCTGCAGAAGACTCCAGAAACCTGCCAAACATGAACCATCCAAATTATGGAAATGGTCCCAAACAAATTAAGACCAGGTACTTCTGCCCCACCACAGTATACAGTTTGCCAACTTCTACTGATATTCTCAAATGCATCGGAGTTCTGCCAGATCACTGAAGCTTGTACCCTTTCTTATGAGCTCCGGAAAGTCTTCCCTCGTCCAAACATACCTTAACAAGGTTCAACAACACGCCTCTACTCATCCAAACATACCTAAACACATGAAGAGAAAAGAGTGCCCGTGAACCTAAACAAAAGACTGCTGAAGAACATTACACCCACTCACCTCCCTCGGCCTCCAGCTTCTTGAACTTGGCACTAGAAAAGTTGAACTTCAAGCATGGCACACCAGTTAGATCCTGGAATGCATCAGCGACCAAGCCTGACAGCATTTGCCCATACGATCCATGCAGCTTTGCATACCCTTTCTCCAGAATAGAGACCCATAATTCCCCATTGTTGGCAGAGTGTCCTGCATCATGTTCGAGTCCAAGACGATACAATCCCTTCGCATCAGCCCAAGCTTGTATCAAACACTACGCCGCAAAGGCGAAGTAGCAGGTTGTTTTCACATAAGCACGCGCACAGCTGACATATAAAAAAAGATAGCAAGTTGACACTGACCATTCGTCGGCAGCCGGGTCACCTCTGAATTCCTATAGATGCATCCAAAGGAGGATTTCAACCAGTTTTGTGTCCTGGTGACAGCACAACTAGAAAGAGAATAATGAGCAGAGCAGAATTGCAGCCTTTAATCGTACGACATTGTTCTTCTTGTTTGGACCAGGAGAACACCATCTACAAGCAAATATAATGTCCAATCACACACCATCACAAAACCTCAAACTTTGGCCAGGAACACATGATTTAGAGAATTTCCACACGTTTCCACCTGGGGTATAAGAACAAAATGTGGAAGTGCACTACAGAGATTGCTCAAAGAATCCAGCGGCTTAGCTCAGTTGGTAAGGCACACAAGTGGCATTCAGGAGGTCGTGGGTTCAATCCCCATTGCCCTCATGTACCTTCCTGGGCAAGCTTGGCGCCGCCACCTAGAGATATGTCGTTGCCCCCCCCGAGTGGCATTGAGCAGAGACTGCTGATGTTCTTAGGGGGAGGGGACCGGAGGGGAGGCACAGTGACTGACCCATCGAAGAAGCTCGGTCCTGATGCTACCGGCCGACCCCTGGCCAGTATCGCCCACCTGATGTAGCAGGTATCGCACCTGGTGGTGGGTGCAGCTCCCACATGTTCCCTCATTGGAGGCTTGAGCACGGATGTGGCTGCTACAGGGTTCCCCGTAATACTATAATGGCAATAAAAAAGGCCTGAAAGGCTGTCCTGTCCAGATTCAACAGGTAATTAAATTGGTTGGGCTTAAAGAATTAGCCTTTAAACCACCAGTACTTCCTAGAGTCGTGCCCGTTAACACGCCACGATTTTAGGAAACGTACGGGCTCCTACAGGAGCGCCCAAGTTCATCCGACTAGAAACGTTTCTACTCTATTTTTTTCCSCGGCCGATAGCTGGGCCAAGTACTGGTGGTTTAACAAAAAAAAAAAAAAAAAGATTGCTCAAAGAGGAAAAGTCCACTGCAGACAAGACACAAAACAGAGAACATAACCGACCAATCCAGCATGTCACTGACTACACGTCACTACAGCAATTTAGCAACCAATGACGGCGAAGGTAAAGAGAACAGATGAGTGAAGAGAAGGGGTGAAGCAAAGAAACGAAGAAGATGAGAGATGAATAAAACAAATCGATTATGGCCATGACCATGAGATGAAAGAGCATTCCTCAACGTGCACTAAACAAGGCAGACAAGTCTTCACAGTACGGACACTTCATCAACTTGACATGACAATTAAGACCCAGCTATAGGTCAACGAGACTCCTTGGCTCCAATTCACCTAAGCAGTTCGCTAGGCCAAACATCTTCCCATGTACAGAGGAACCTAGTCAATGCTGCACCAGCCCATCAGACCCCGCACCCCCACTACTTGTGCGCCAGAGAACAAACCAAGGGGAAAATAAAACAAATTCAGGAAACACAATAGCTAGGGTGCTAGAGTCGTCCGGCAGTTGGGTCAAGGAAAGCTGGACCTCGCCACACTGGAAAACTGACTAGGGCAAAAATGGCCTAAGTACAAAAAGAAGTGCACACACCCATCTTAGAGCGCAAACAATAGTTAAGATCTCTCCACAACGTTGACTGACCACCAACACATACATCCAAGACATCCTCATCCTGAAATGCACACACCCATCTTAGAGCCCAAACAAGTGTACAAAGTCTACAAAACCCAAAAGAGCTAGGCTGGTCCCTGGGCCGCCCGGTGGCCTGGTCGTCGCCCGGGGTGGGCCCCGGATCGCCTGGCCGGTTGTCACGCCCGGTTGGCCACCGGGCGCCCCCAGTGCATCAGTGTAGGTTAATTTTGTTTTATTTTTTCGGCGCTGGGGGCCTTTACGCCCTCAGGGCAGACTATGCAGACCACAAAAAAAGTAAAAGGGCCCAGCAGGCCCGATTTCACCGATTCGAAATCGGGCCCGATCTGGATCCTCGATCTTCAAGATCGACGGCCCAGATGGTCGTGATTTCGATTCAGTGAGGGTGGGAAGTTGGAAACTACCGGCTCCCGTTCCCTCCCCAATTCTCACGTTGTACCCCCTACCGTCTTCCCCCGAACATAACGCATGAATGTATACGAGATATATTTCCGGCCAGATACCGCCAAAATGAGGGTTCGTTGTGTTTGGAGGAAGACGGGGTCCACCCGTTCCCTGCCCTGCCGACGCAGAACTTCGACGCCGCCAGCACCTGTCAACACCCGCCACCGCGTGTGACCCGGCCGACCCCTCCGTCGCCCGCCAACGCCCGCCATCGCGGTTCCCCGCCATCAACAAGGTAAGGGACTTCGGTGACTTCAGGGGGGGGGGAGAGAGAGAGAGAGAGAGAGAGAGAGAGAGAGAGAGAGAGAGAGAGAGAGAGAGATTCTTCTTTTTCATCATCACTTCTTCTTTGTCGTCCCTTCTCCTCCTCTTCTTCTTCACTTCTCTTCTTCATCTTCTTCATCATCACTTCTTCTTCTTCTTCTTCTTCTCCTTCTTCTTCTTCGTTGTCGCTTTTTCTTCCTCTTCTTCTTCACTTGTTCTTCTTCTTCTTCTTCTTCTTCTTCTTCTTCTTCGCTTCTTCTTCACACCCGTCTCAAGCCCCATTCCCCTCCCTCCCGAATCGTCAGGATCGCGCCCAATCGCTGGTCGCCCCCACGTGCCTCCGTCATGCCCCTTGTGCTCCTTGCTCCCCGACTCTTTCCCCCCCGCTCTCCAGACGCGCTCACCTTTTTTATTGCAGATTCAGGGTCCTCTAGGGTAGCGCAGCACAACCCCACCTTCCAAAACTAATAAAAAAATTTCTTGCTGGGTTTTTGCATCGCCCGGTTTCGCCGGGCGGACCCCCCCGGGCCCAACCGTCCGGGCGGTGGCCCAGCCTAGAAAAAAAGAAAATATATTTTTTCTTCAACCACAACCTGATCTGATGGACCAGTCGCCAAATGACAAAATGGCACATATATCTAGCTATGTTCTTGTGCATGGCACACTCACCATTTCACGTTTTGGTGAGTAGTGGCATGAGGCCCTACCACTGACAGATCGGTGGGACATTACACACACATGTATGACTGTTGTTGCAGCGATTCAAGCAGAGCACAGGAAACACCAAGTTATCAGAGCATCCGATCGGGCTACCATCATGACTGTACCCACTGCAAAGGAGCTTGCATGCATTGATGAACAGGAAGTCTGATATTCGAGGGAAGATGGCTTCTTTCATCCGAACAGACATGTCCACAGCAACGAGGGTTGTGACATATGTTTAAGATTTACAACAGAGGCTGTCATTGGTGATTGCAGGGGAGCTGCCTAGTTCACAATAATATCGCTTTGGGATGCACAGGAAAACGCACCATAGACCAGACGCCCATCCTTGGCCGGTAGCTTGCTGCTCACTGCAACGGTAACGTATCTGCATGGCAAAAATAAGAACTACTCAGTAAAAATTACAGTGAGGCACTCAGAAAGTTGAACCCTTGGAGAATCTGCACCCCTCCGGTTCAGAAATCACACCTCAAATAGGTCGCGTCAGTAATCAACGTAAATACAGAGGAATGTGCAGAAATGAGCAATCACATCAAATCTAAGAGCGAAAGAGATGACACAAAACCCCTGAGAGAAAGAGAACATCGGTCAGATCTCACAGTAACCTCTTCCCTATAAATTCTGCACTTCACAAAAACGGGTCTCCATCAGCCCGCTCCAAACCTAAATCCAGCGCAACGAGCTCAAGTAGAACAGGTATGATTGGTACAAAGCAAGGTTGTCAAGTTCAAGGGTTCATTACCTCCCACTCTTGAAGAAGCGCAGCCGGAATATCCCATTGGAAGGCACTTCCCGTTGGACAAACACTCTTTCTATCAAGCCAGGGAACTCTGCGAGAATACCAACTGCAGACAGGAACCAGGAGTCTTCCAGGATCCCCTGCCTAATATCTGATGGTTTGATGTCAGAATACAAGTACTGTAAATTGGCACCTGCAATCCTGGAAGCTGGCACCATCTCCACTTGGTGTTGAGGTAGCAACAAGGGCTCATATGAAGGGTCCGCTAGGGATCCATACTCTATCACCTCCTTGGACGGGAACAGTGCTTCTGCTGCAAACCAGGGAGCGCTCCTATAGAGTCTACCACGCTGCTCTTCATCCAGACCCATTGCTGCTACAAACCCAGCTTCTTCAGCCTCTGCTCTCTGTGCTCGGTTTTGAGCCTCTGACTTCTCTGTGGCATCCATGCCATCTTCTGTGGGCTCGCCTTCACCCGTTAGAACAGTCATGATCTTCCCACCAATGATCGCAGGTGGTTCACCTTCTGTATAAGCTGCTACTGAAAGATCCAGAGCAGGCTCCCCCCCCCGTTCTGCCAGAGGGGAAGTGACCGGCCATGGTGATGGCTCAATGACAGCTTCCTTATCGTGTGGCCAAAACAGCTGTACAAGCGGCTCCTTAGTTTCTTCACCGAAAGCTGATATTTCAGAATGTGGTGCTGTATGCTGCTCTTTTGTGCCCTCCGATACCAGGACAACCACCTCTGCAACCAGCGGAAGCACTGGAGCTGTAGGAACGATAGGGACATCAGCAACCGGTTCCTTCAGGATCTCTGCCAATGCACTGGCTTCAGATACCACAGAAGTTAAAGATAATGGCACAGTGCCAGGCTCAATGGTTCCATCTATGTCCCTCCATACATCCCAGTTTTCAGACATGCCCACAGGGTGGACCTGTGGCTCAGGCAGCAACTCTGCAGCTCTCTTTGATGAGCATGGTAGGAAATCAGGCTCGCCAGCTGGAGCAACCACCTGGTCCAGATGCCAGACTTTGAGGAGGTCATCTTCCGCTGGCTCAGTTGGAAGCTCTGTAATTTTTTCAATCAACTCCTTGCCGGGAGAATCCATGATAACCTCGCCCTCCAGCTCGGCAGTTACTGGATTATCTGAATGTACCGTAAACACAAACCTTCGAGGCAAAACTTCTCCTGTGCTGTCCGGAAAACTGCACTCCTCCCCATTTTTACCAGTAAAGGACAACCCCTTCACCACCACACTATAGAAACCTGGTTCCAACATGACCTCAAGCTGGCATCTGGCGCTGCGTGTGTGCTTCTTTGCGGTAAGTACCTTCTTCTCATTGACGAGATAAAAACCGATCTTCAATGGTGTTGGAGCACCCAGGCTGACAGACGCACAGACAAACAAGCACGTTCCTCAGATACAATACAGCAACCACCACTAAGATACAGCAGCTGTCAGATAAATCACATTGACAGCAGCAAACAGCAGATTCATCATATAGGGCACAGCAGACATAAAAAGCAGAACACACTAAACAAAGCAACCAGCACATCACACAAATGAAAAACATAACACACTAAGCACAGCAATCACCGGGAATCAGCACAATAATCTGATACGGTCCAGCAGACCAGTAGTAACCATTCTTCCGTATAGTTGTCCGCCAGCGAGATCCACTTGGTAGCATGTTTATGGTCAGTTGAGGCATTGAAGCCCATATACCAGATTTTGCACTCTGGGGCATTCCTGTACACAACTTCTACAGTCCATTGGCTTTAGGAGCTCATCATACTACTTGCCAGATGACAAGATACATACTCCATCAGAGTCCATCTCTAATACTCTGAAGGAAATAGAGGGTCTCGCATGAGAGTCCTGCGTGAGCCCCCGTTCACAGTGTTGGGAAAGTATGAAATGGGCCCACGGCCCGTGTGGGGAGCAGCCACGCAGGCCCCGGTGGGCGACTTTTGTTTCCAGTTTGGCGGTGAGTGTTCAAACATCATTTTTCCACAAGTCTTTTTTTCGCGCCCGACTATCGTTTCCTGATGCAGTAGAATGCTGATGCAGTAGCCAACATAGACTGTAACCACAACATACTTGACAGCTGTTGGGAAGGCGTATGCTTGAACTGGTTCCACAAGAGGTCAAACGTCCGTCTGAAATCTGTAGCACGCCCTGATCTTGTTATGCATAATGCCATCTTGAACCATCGATTAAGTTTAGGACCTCACCATACTACCTGCCAGATGGGGAGACTTACTTTAGGGCCTCACTGTGCTGCCCACCACTACGAACTCTAGTTGTCCAAAACCACGGCCATACTTGGTACAGTGCTCGTGCTCAGTTGAGGCATAGGAGTACATATACCAGATTATGAACTCTGGGCCATTGCTAAAAACATCTTCAACAGTCTATTTACTTTAGGACCTCACCACACTACTCGCCGGACGGCAAGATACATACACCACTATGAACATTGCCATTTTCTATATAAGAGATTCACTCTCCATTTTCACGCCTCATGAGTTCTGCCGCAAGGCCCTCAATACTCTGGAAATTTCAAACTGCACTGCACATGATTTGCCAAAGATTAGATACAAAGCAAACAAATTTGCGATTCTTTAAAGCTTTGCTCACCAGAGCTCCAGTACTTTCATAGAAGGGAAGCAAAGACAAACTGAAAGGACGTAAGCGCAGCGACCTCAGGTATTTGATTAGACAAGTTCCTTACAGCCGTGGGTCTTCTTGATGTAGCCCTAAAAATGCATGTGTACGCTCTGTCACCTCCAGCTTGAAGATTCTTGTAAGATGAGCAGTGTCCCCAGTACGACAGATATCCCTGTTGTCAAACTGGCAGGGAATGTGCACCTCGTTCCATGGCTGTCGGTTGCCATGCCTCACACAGCAAACTCCCATTCCAACGAAAGACTGATGAATGAGAAGCAAGTTCACAAAAAACAAACAACAGCAGGGAGGAATCGAATTTTCAGACCTCATTCGAGAGAACATATGAGAAGGTAGTGCAGCCTACCGTCTTCCCCCAAATAGAGCATACGGTCATTGTAGCCATATTTGGCTCACCTTTCAGTCCAGATGCACTGCAGACGTAGCTTCTCTTTTTGTTTGTCCTAAATGACCGTACATTATATTTGGGGGAAGTAGGTACTGCAGTCTCCGAGCGGAACAGGATGGACAATAAGGGTTAGCGCAACTTCGTGGTCTTCAAGCCTAAACGGAAAGATACCTATGTGTGTAACTGCTATATAATGGCCACGCCCACTGTGTTAAATTGATGCTCTCAAAGCATGAACCATTGAGCTAAATTGATGCTCTGGATGCTGCTCAACTACTTTCCCGCTCTATTCATCTAATTGTTATAGAGAATACAATACTTGTTACTTACATATAAGAATGATAGCCAGCAATCCACCACCGTTGTCAATGGTTGGTTTGATATATTCATGGCTGATTTCACATATTCATGGCTGGTAGACCTTCTGTGGCATGTGAAATATACTTCCAAACCCGACCATATCTGGGTGCCACCAGTTCGAACTTTGTAAGTCATTTCCTGGCATCAAGAAGCAACCATCCAAGAATCTAGCACTGGATTCAAATCAGCCTTGACCTCGGGACACTTTTTCCACTCTGCTCTTACCACTCCGCGCACCACCCCGCTCAAATTTTCCCCAGGGATGTCATAGGCCCAAAACAATAACCAATGTGCGCCATCCTTTTTGAAAAACAATCCAACGATCAATGCGCACCGCCCTTTTTGAAACACAACTCAATCATCAATGTCCACCATCCTTTTTGAAACACAATCCAACGATCAGTGTGCACCATCCTTTTTTAACACATTCCAATGATCAATGTGTGCGGCCCTGTGCCCAACACTCAGCAAAATATACTTTTGCTTGCCTTAGCACGTTGCCACGTACACCATTCTTTTACATATTCAGGCCTGGTAACCCTTCTGTGCAATGTCAAATATACTTCCAAACCCTGCCACAGCTGGCTGCCTACCTGCTTGAAGTCATGGTATGCCATCCAGAAGCTGCCATCGGACACATCTAGCACTGGATTCAAATCAGCCTTGACCTCGGGATACTGCTCCCACTCTCTGCTGTTATCACTCCATGCACCACCCCACTCAAACTTGCCCCAGGGATTTCGAACGTTCACAAGCTGATGTCCATGTGAGTCTCTCACCTGCTCCACAACCCACCAAGTTCCCAGGACGGCGATTCAGGAAGTCAATCACAAAGCCATTTATACTTGCAAGATGGGAATGATAAGAAAGCTGACAACGAGACAGTTCAACATTCGCACACTGAATCCACAGAAGTGAAGCTTGACAATCCATGGCACACAAGATGACAAAGTTGCATTCAGAAAAAATAAATTCTCGGAGCTGAAATTCACCAAACCTTGATTTCACAGACATTGTGACGAGGCACGCAACGGGCATATTATTAAACCACCACTGCCGGCACCCTTCTACAAGAACTTGCCACCGTATATGACGAGGCCGCAGAAAGGTTCAGCCTACCGGACCCAAGGGGGTCCAACGGGACACAAAGGACTTCCAGACCCCGAACTTTGGTGATTTTTAATTCTCATTTCCTCCAACAGAAGATGTATGGTGCGTTCCAGTGTATCAGGTAAAGTACCACAAAATAAAAAAAAACAGATGTGCTCACAAAAATGAATTTGGTGCAATGCTTTTGTCGATCAGAATAGCTGCAATCTGATATGCCCGACCTTTCATCTGTTTGCAGGCCAGCATCGGTGAGAATTTGCAGCACAGCAACGGCTTGTTTTCACTGACAGTAGTGACAAATACCACCACCACAACTTCAGGAAGAACATCAAACAGTCCAAACCGCAAATCAATGAGCACACCTGCATAATGATAACACACTCACTTTGATAACAGTATACGCATGTCCATTGACCAGTCCACTTCCACTCTTCCCACCCTTCTCCGTGAACTCGTCTTTGCCAGCAGTGCATGCCGCCATAAGATACCCACGTCCATCATAGTCTTTCATGAGAGACCAGAAACCTGCATTCAATAGCAAAGAAAGGAGTCATGACTCATAAGGCCAATGCGCCAAAATTCAAGGACGACAGGAACTCCATAGTCACCACTACCAAAATACAGTGACCAAGAATCAGATAGAAATGGAGTTTCCTAAAGCAGAAGAGTCAAAAACAAGGAAAGTGTTCTGCTGCATACAATACACCAACAGCGCATACTGGCACAAGTGCCCTGTTGGGGTCCCTAATTTCATCATATACATACACAATGATAGCTCTCTCTCTCTCTCTCTCTCTCTCTCTCTCTCTCTCTCTCTCTCTCTCTCTGTGTGTGTGTGTGTACACGCACACACACTCAAACAGAAACGAATTCCCACCCTTTCTCCCACTACACCTGAAGTAAAATAGTTGTGTCACACTCTCTCAATCTCCACGTTCCACTGTGCAATCTGTTCCTCGTTTCCCCCTCTCCCTTTTCCTCCCCCCAACCACATCATACCCATCGCCCCTTGGACTGACACGGCCATGAATACCACTTCCTAACCCCACCAGAGGTTAACCCCCCCCCCAAAAAAGAAAAAACAGGATTGCCAACTATTCCCCAAAGCTTTGCAAGTTTGCACAGATAAAGGTATCCGCAAACGGACAAAGGCTCCATGTTAAGAAAGGTCCAAGAATTCAAGTTATTCAACTGAAATGAAATGACTAATAAATACAAGCTGTAGCTAATACTCAGATCTTCAAAGATACATTTTCTAAGGTCCCCCAAATCCATTCACCGCCCCCGCCTAGACCCACTAACTAGCCAGTAGCAATCCTAGGTGTTCTCTCCCCTGGAGTGATTACACAATCGTTCCGCAATCCTTTTTTTTTACCATATTTTTCAAACATTGAACACAATCCAAGAAACATATGCAAGATATGATATTATGAAACCATTTGATTTTTTTCAAACATTGAACACAGTCCAAGAAACATCTGCAAGATATGATATTATGAAACCATTTGATCGACATTGGTCCACTGGAACATTTATCGATGATGTTTTTGCCCCACTTATCAAGCATTGAGCCTAAGAACATTTGAAACAAGATACCAAGGCTACAGGTGGAACATGGGTGGGTGGCGGGAAGTGGGAGGGGGGGGCAAGGGCGAGGGCGGCGAGAAGGAAATAGCTGCACGAAAGCCACGGAGAGGGAAAAAGGACGGGCTGGGGAGGGTGGGGGAAGACGCCAAGGAGAAGGAAGATCTTCCAAACATGTTTCAGCTTTCAACCGTGTAAAACATTTTTATTAAGGTCTATAGCTCCCCTGTTCCTATGGACAGCCTGCCACCACTGCAACAAGGTCCAACCCACACTTCAAAGGAGCAGAAACCATGAGGCATTACTGAAGAACCCCAGGACGTACCAGTTGTTTCTTCAAGCTTCTTGAATTTCTCCGTGTCAAATTTATACCATAAGCATGGTGCGCCAGTTAGGTCTTGCAGAGCATCATTTGGATTGCCAAGAACCAATTGCTTGTAGGACCCGTGCAATTTTGCATACGCTTTTTCCAACAGCATCACCCACATCTCATTTCCAACCGACTTTGCTGAGAACAGGAAGCCAACCAGATTACACAACAAGACACAGTAAGAATTGTTTGAAGACTCGAACAGAGCAAAATTATAGCATCAACGCCCGCAAGTAATACTTCGAAACGGAGAAACATCACTTGACAAGGGGTTTTTAGGTTTAAATTGTGAAGCACAACTTTGAAATAACAATTTTGTATTTTGACTATAACCAGTTTTTTGAAGTTTTTTCAGAAGGGTTCAACAAATTGGAATTTAGCTGTAGAATTCTCAAATTGTATCCAAAATTACAGAGAGTGTTTTAGTTTCTCACAGGATTTCCAAACAGCCTGCAATAGAACGCCGAGAGGAGCAGCTCTCCATTCTGCAGCTCCAAGCATTTTTCTTTGGGCAGGTGAGAAGCTTAGACAGGAGGGGACCTTCAAATCCACATGGGTGTATCCATCAGCCAGTCTCCCCCCCCCCCCCCTCTCTTTCTGTGGGCACACGATGTTGTCCGAGGTTCCCAGCCATAAGCCGACCATGAGTAAGGGTGTATATTTTTGTAAACTTCCGACTTCTGTCGGACAAGGAACTGGACTGCTGCTGCCAAGAATAGAATGGATCCGAGGCCATGTCAAGAATGAAGGGAAAAAAAAAAGTTATCATTCATAGTAAACCTGGTAAGGTAACTGTCTAATCATTTTTTTCTTTTAAAGATCCTGGCCTCTCGTATGTTCAACATTCAACACGAATGATACAAATCAACAGCTATCACACAAAAATGTTTACACTCACCATATATGGGTTGTCCCTCCTTGCTTGGGACATTGCTATTGACTGCCACGGAGACCCACCTACAAAACAGCATAACAGCAATCAAGCTGAGGATAAGCTTCAAAAAGGAGAGAGTTTGGGATTCAATACGACACAAAGCAAGCACTCTGCCATGGATAAGCTTTGAAAAAAGAGAGAGTTTGTGATCCAATACAACAAGAAGCACTCTCTCATAACGTCCCTTCTACTCAACTCGATGACCAAACCTGTCAAGAATCCATAACAGCAAAGACTCACAAAGAGACAAGGAACTTGGTTGAGGAGGAGATCACTAAGAAAAGGGGAAACACACGCAATCTGCAACAACAAGTGAAGAGCGCTGCTGCGCCGACAGCGCATCCCAGCAAGCAACGTAACTTGGATGTTGAAAGAAAACAGACAGTCCCTCCAAACATGGAAAGATAATAGGGCACCTACCACCTACCTCCCACTTTTGAAGAAACGAAGCTTGTATACACCATCTTTGGGTACCTCCCTATGCAGGAACACGTTCTCCACCAACCCAGGAAACTCCGCAAGAGCAGCAATAGCAGAAAGGAACCAGCAGTCGCCAAGGAAACCCTGTTTGATGTCCCCAGGCTCGATCTTGCCTTCATAGAGATATTCTTTTCCAGGAAGCAGCTCCTCCAATGCCACCATTTCAGTCTCCTGCCCATCCGCTGGCAAGGGATCAAATGCTGCGCTAGAGTACCTACCATATTCACCGACCCCTGCAACTGGTTCAAGTTGTTCCGCAGACTGCCATGGTTTCTGCAACTGCGAAATAAGCTTTGGAGTTGCCAATTTCTCTTCGATCATACTTGCTGCAGCAACAGCCACTTCCGCTTCGTCTGTCACTCCAGGTGCAGGAGCAGGCTTTACGACTCTTGTTAGATCATCCTCCTCAACATTTGCGTCTGCTCCAGAGGCGCTTTCCACCTCAACCGCAGGCTCAGCAGCGCCAATAGTGACAGCCTCTACTAGCGAAGGCACGCCGGGCTCAAGGGTACTTTCCTTCTCAGACACAGTCATGGAGACCACAGTAGGTTCTTCTGTAGCCTCTGCCCGTCCAGTCCTCCCCAGTGAAAGATCGGGAGGCTTTCTGCTCTCCTCAGGAGAACCCTCGGTAATCACATTCACTGCAGGTTCTTTCAGAGGCTCAGACGTCCCTACCACAATACTTGGTGCCATTGCGGTTTCCATGGAAGGTCTCACTTTGACTGTTGGCTCGGACAACACCATCAAATGCTCTTCAAGGACACCAACAGACACCGGCAGATCCTCAGCAGGCTGTCCTGATTCTCTGGAGTCTGCAACCTTTGGCAAGGGCACAGCCAACTCTGCTGGAAGGGTACCCGGCTCTGGCAATAATATGGGCTTGTCGTACAACTCATACACTTGCCTCTCCTCCTCGTCTTCCCTTCCTTCGTTCTCATCCATCTCAGCAAAAGGATTGGATGAAAGCACCATGCTGGTTTCTGGGACTGTGCTTGCCATCCATTCTGCTGTCACATCCACATCTGCTTGAACAAGGGTTTCCGCCCTGGCATCTTCTTCCTTGGCTTCTTCGTCCTGAGGATCTTGTAGAGCCCAGGCCATGCCCCTTTGCATTGTCGATGCAGGCTCGTACTCAACACCCTGACCATTCATCATGACGAACAAGAAATATGTTAATTTTGAAGTCTTCATTATGTCAATTTCAAATAATGCATCCTTCTCTCCAATGCATGGGATTAAGACGCGAAGTCTCTGCTCTTCGAGCCTTATTATATTCATGGATACTTGTTTCTATAAAGTGGTCAAGTTCATTAAGGTAAAGAAATCATCATTATCATGACATTATGTCAATTTCAAAATCGTATGTGAAGTGGATGTAAGGCATCCTTTGTCTCCAATGCATGGGATTCAGACGTGAAGTGTCTGCTCTTCGAGCCTTGCTATATTCATGGATAGTTGTTTATATAAAGCAGTCGCGTTCATTAACATAAAGAAATTATACGCGCGGTTCTTCCACCAAGTCACCAAGGTACAGATATAGACAACGCAGCGCACTCAAGAACCTCCAGTATTTGCCATTGCATGCTATACGCGCGGTTCTTCCACCAAGTCACCAAGGCACAGATATAGACAACACAGCACACTCAAGAACCTCCAGTATTTGCCATCGCATGCTGATTCTGTCAAGTACTTGTTGACCGTTGCCCACATACAACCACTACCATGCTATCACATCCAGTTGATGGCAATGACATGTTCAAACAGCCATCAAAATACGTATGACCACAATCAGAGATGCAATGCACTCTGCATGAGTGCCGACGACTGTGGCTACAATGACCTGATCGGATGCCACTATATCAAGCTCTCATATCCATACATGGTTTCCAGGTTGAAAGGAAAAATGGTGGCACATACCTGGCTCATCCATGTACTTGTGGGAGGCACATCAACAATCGGTCCCACCTCGACTAAAGCAACGGCGAAGGACACAACTTGCGAAGGCTCAGACGATGACTCAAGTGCCTTTCTACTGATAGCAGTGTCCTCAACAGCTGACCTTGGCGGCTCAGCAGCTCCCTCAGCTGTGTCCTCAGATAACCCGCCGAGTTGTCCAGGCTGCACCGATCCATCAGCCAAAACAACGGATTCCCTTTCCACAGAGCTTTCCATTACTGGAGCAGCTTTCTCTATCATAATGGGACCAAGACCGGACAATGCAGGTTCAGCCTCCATTCCCGCTTCAAGCCACCCATGTTGCGACACCTCCTCTGCCAAGGGTGCAACCCCAGCTTCTAGCACATGCAGGGACTCTGCAATAACAGCCACTGGCTCCCCAGACGGATGGAGGGGAGCAGGGGCCAAAGGCGTCGGAGCATCAGTGGCCAGGACACACTCCTCTTGTGACAGCTCTTGGACAGTTGATGAAGCCTCCTCATCGGCAACCTCCACTTGGCCGAGAACTGTCGCTGAATGCACAAGCGGATCTGTTTCCATGGATATGCCAGCCATCTCCGGAACACCTGATTTGGATTCAACAACCTCCTGTAGGACTGCTTCCTGCTTCTCACCTAGTGATGATCCCATGAACAATCCATCCAGTGTGACAGGCTGTGCCTCCATATCATCAGTATCATGAGCTTTGGCACCTGGCTCTTCTACTGATACAATCATATCCAACTTGACGAATGGGGTCATATCTAAGAGCTTTTGTGGTGGCTCTAAGGACGCTTCATTGGTGTCTTCCATGGTCAGCTCCGCAGCAGTGGCTAAATCTAACTCCATAACTCTCGTCTTGGTTTGTTCAAATCCTGCAGCAATATTTGCAATGGCGTCTGCATCCAAAGCAGCATCCGTGTACCTCACTGCAAATGGCGCCGCAGATACCGAGTCCCCTGCAATTGCACCACTTTCAGTCAAAATCTTGCCCTCCAATTCCTCCACCTGTGGGGCTTCTGCCTTGGCCTCCAAACCTCCACTCAACTTCGCTTCTTGGAATCCAGGTTCCAGTTTGGCCTCGCTCTCGTACACAAGTCCATGTCTCAAAACTTCTGGCTGGATCGAGGGCTCTGATGGAAAACGTTCATGCCCAACGGGCTTGGCCAAAACGTCAGAATCAGCAGCTGGTCGCTGGTCTTCCCCATGTTTAGCAAATGCATCTCGAACAGCAACAGAGTCGGTCGGGAGGGATTTCCCCACATCAGAAACTGCTGCGTCAATAGCATCATTCCGCTCTTCGTGCTTCATCGAGGTCACCTCCCTTTCATAGATGGCCACAACTGCTTCAACCTGCTCCATAGAGATGTCCACTTCGAGACCATCTGCAATTGCCCGCTCCTCCAGTATGTGGTCCTTCATAGTGGCAGCCTGGACACCACCAGTTGAGGACTCGACAGCAACAAAAGGTGCACCCTCCGCAGGACAAACCATATCTGCGTCAGAGACAATATCTGCTTCCGGCAAGCCCACAATCACCTGGGCGACAGGTTCACCACTCAAATTCAGCTCTGTGGGCACGGTGCCTCTCCAAAATGCATCACCCCCAACACCTTCATAGATATTGTCATGCTCCTCCATGGGATGGCCCATATCTCCCGCAGCAGCTTCTGCTTGTGACACAGCCGCCATCAGATCTGGTGAGACAAGCATTTCAAGGCCTGGATCAGATACCTCCTCCACAAACGCACTCTCCACAGCTGGTGCTGTATTTGTAAGTGGCTCAGTAGATGCCTCAGCACGGACTAACAGAGGAGCGGATGCCGCCAACAAACACGTTTCTGCAGATGCAATTGGAGCCATATTGTCAGCAGCTTCCACATGCTCCAATGTAGTTTCTGCCGCCCTTCCACTTTCTGGTATCAAGAAAAGATCTGCCGATCGAGATCTGACCTGTTCCTGAACACCCTCACTTGATTCCATAGTACTCGTTAGCACCTGATCTGCAGGTGTACAATCTACAGACCAGCTCTCTCCATCATCGGATGCATCAAAGATTGTTGAAGCAGGTTCTGGCTCTCCTGAGTGAATACCTCCAACAGGTTTGTCCGCACAAAATGCACTTTCATCAATCGGTCGAGACCCTGGTTCAGGAAGAAATGACTCCCCTTCCTTGACATCCACACGGGATTGAGGACCTCGCACAGAGAGGAATTCCAGTTGTGCAGTTGGTTTACTGTCCAGAAGTGCAATATCCTGTCCATGCAATGACGGTGCCTCGTCTCGCAATCCTGTCTCTGTTGATGAAGATGACAGTTGCACTTCAGGTTTCTCTTCCTCAACACTCCCTTCCGACTCTGAGGCATAGACTTCAGGTTCCAACACCACTGCGGACGGCACCTCGTTGCCCTGCCACAATCCATGGTACAAATTATGTCAACAGGGCAAACACAACCATCACCACTTCGTTGCCTCAAAATGATGAATTTATGCATGTTGTTGATGATTTAGCTACCACCTGCATGCATTAAGTGGAGACGATTTACAGTGTTGACAGCGTGGACCAATCGTTAAGACTATTTCGTTCTATCCTCAAGGAGATTCAGCTTTGTTCCGTCATGATTATTATCGTCCTCGTCACCACCTATGTCATCATTGCATATATTGTTTTCACCCTCATGACAGATTCATTCATAATGATTCACAGTGACACAGTGAAATGTTCAATGCAGCTCTCCCAACATGTCCTGCAGAAAGACTTCGTTCATATCAATTCACCATCACAAACACTGAATCAACGCTCAGTGACAGGGTTGTCAGACCGCCTACCACCAATGCCCAACGGTTTTCTTGCCTAACGGTCAGGGTGACCCGTACGCAGTCAGACGACCAGTCACTATAGGGCCATCGACATTTTTGAAAAAATCTGAGTTTGAGGCCTGTACTGCGCTTGCTGAGTACAGCCCAAATCCCGCTGAGAAACTTTTGGGAATGCGGTGGAGGTTGGGGGGGTGGGGGGGAAGGGGGCAGATAGGGGGGGGGTACAAGGGCACATGGGAGGCTTATGAGGGTGTTGGGCAGCGGTATGGGGGTGTTCAGGGGGTGTATGGGAGTTCTGGGGAGGTGTATAAAGATATTGGTGGGGTTATTGGGGGTTATGGACACACAGAAAACAAATGAAAATAAAAATTTGCAGGGTGCCGACCAGTGGTCATCTTTATCATCACCACGGTCAGGATGATTCGTCATTATACTACGCCAAATGCTTGGTGCTGCTCATTTTGCTATGTCATGCACAGCACGCTACACAGCTCGAAATGCCCTTCTGCATTACATTTTCATGGTCATCACCTTTGTCACCATCACTGCACTCAGTCGCATTGATCTGTCCGTAGTCATCTTCCAACCATGTCATTCATCACGTTTACCGTCATCACCATCACCATCTCCATCGCTAGTCTTCCCCATTGTCATCCGTTTCAACCATTGTGCCGTGCTGGCGCAAGGTGTTGCCACTTCTTCAGTGCCCAAACCAGTGCCAACCCAGGCTCCATTCACCACGAGCCCACTCAGTGACCATACAGTTGCTAGGCACATTCTCTGTCTGTGCCCTCCTTATCCTTTTAACTTCAACATATGGCAAGCTACAAACCAACGAAGTTCCAGACGGGTTAACCCAGCTAGCGACATGCTAAACAGAATAAAATGGAAGAAGACAACGTAAAATGAGGGCTGGCTCACCAACTTACACTGATATCCATATAGAGTACTGTAAAATACATACCCGATACTCGGTACCAGTGAAATCCATATGGGAATCAGTTCCTGCTTCCAGCTTGACTCCTGCCTCTTGTTCCATCGGTGGTTCAGTGGTCCCTTCACTCTGTCGACTCATTTGAGCCTCCGCAGCCACCGGTTCTACAGAACCGGCAGCCACATGCTCCACATGCATGGCTATGACTTCAGACTCCACCACTGCCTCATTGGGAGTGACGGTCAAATCTTTGACAACAGAATCTATTGAAGCTTCACCAACATCCTGTGGTGCTTGTCCTTCCCTTCCCGCCCGAGTAGGTACAGCTTCTGAAACCAATTCTGGAAGCATAATTATTTCCACCTCACTTGGCTGCACAAGTGGCAATGGAGCGTGTTCTGGGGAGTGTGGAGGCGATGATCCAGAAACAACCATTGGCTCATCAGACTCCTCAACAGTAGACATATCCATTCCCTGCAGATCCAAACCTGGATTCAAGTCACCTTCTTGGACGAGCTCCCCAACCTCAGCAACCCCTTCTGTCACCACACCCAGTCCTGCAGCTGTTGCCAGGTTGCGGTCAACTGCTTCACACACCAACGCCATTTCCACTGCTGAGGCTTGGACGTCATGCTCCAAGAGCCTGCCAGAGACTTCTTTTTCCAACTCCTCTCCCGGCCCAGCCTTCAAAAGCATATCTTCCGTGATATCCTTCATCACCTCTGGAACCTCCGGAGGCAAGCCAACATCAGGATCACACACAGAAATTGGATCCTCGTATTCAGGCCCAATCGACGACTCCACCACAGGTCCCGGGGCTAGTTCACCTGCCAACCCTTCACTTCCTTCAACAGGAGCACCTTCTGCGAGACATGGCATAACACCAATCTCATCTGCATCGACCACAGGTGTACCAGACGACACGGCTTCCAAAATCAAGTCCGCATCATATCCATGCTCTGCCAAAACTGGACTCTCCTCTGGTACAGACAAAGGCACCTGGGCATCTGTTGCCTCTGACCCTGCTTCCCCGTCTTTTTGAGAAGGCAAAACGTCTGTCAACTCTGGCCTTGCGATCTCCTCCAAAGTGCGCTCGAGCTTGGCACCCTCCCCATCTGGATGGATCGAGGGCTCGGCAACCGTGCTCCTCACTGTGGCGTCCGGAATTACAGCGCCAGTCTCTTCACTCACTGTCTCATCAAAATGACCCTCAGAACTTGCTTCCTCATCCCCACCAGCAATATCTTCATCAACCAGAGGTGCAGCCGATCTTATGGCTTCTGACATTAGATTCTCAGAATACCCACGGTTGGCACCACCTTGAACCTCCTCCAGTGTGAGAGAAGGTCCGTGAGCATCCAATGCCTCAGACCTTGCTTCTCCATCACTTGGAGAAGATGCGACATCACTCAGCTGCGGTCGCACAAAGCCCTCTGGTGTGTGGGAAAGCTTGGCAGACTCCTCATCGGGATGAATCGACGATTCTGGAATGTCTTCCATTTTTCCAATACCACCGGCCTCTTCAGCAACTAGCCCCTCTTCAGTTCCTTTAACAGAGTCCATCTCCTCTCCATCAGACTTGCTATCAGTCCCAGCTTCAGCGACAACTGGAGCAGCAGCGCACACAGCTTCGGACACCAGCTCCTTATGCAGTCCATGGTCCATTCCGTCTCCCTTCTCCGTGGCCACAGAAGGCGATTGCACCTCCACTGCCTCGGAGCCTGATTCTTCATCTGAGGGAGAGAATGTACCCCCTGGCAACCCTGGTCTTGCGACCTCTTCCGATGTGTGCTCCAGCCGGGGATATTCCTCAGACGGACGAATTGAAGGTTCTTGTACCATGCCCTCAGCTGGGTTTCCTGCAAAAAAACGAGCCTCTTCACTATCCAACACATCTTCACCACCTGGAGGACGAACTACCTCATCAGCACTGGAAATGCTAGCAACGATAGACTCACCAACCAGAGGTGTGGTGCCACACAGAGATTCTGAAACCAGTTCTTCATGGTACCCGTGGTCCATTTCATCTTGATCCGGTCTCACTGCCAGTGGAAGGGACTGGACATCTGTAGCCTCCAACGCTGCTTCTCCATCACTGTCAGAAGAGGAAGCATCCGGAAGACCAAGTTTTGCAACCTCCTCTGGGGTGTGCTCCCAGTCGGCACCCTTGCCAGTTGGATTGGTTGAAGGCTCTGGGTCTGAGCCCTCTTGTAAATCTCTCGGCCTTACGGTGTCCGCCTCACTTGCTGCTGCCTTATCAGCACCAGAAACACCACCAATCTGAGTGTCGTCAACTAGAGGCGCACTTGCACACACTGCTTCAGAACCAAGTTCCTCATGGTACCCGTGGTCCATCCGCTCTTGATGCTCCCCAGGTTCAAGCAAGGACCCCTGGACTTCAACTACATCTGTAGCTGCCTCTCCATCACTGGGAGTGGAAGGCATATTTGCCAACTCCAGTTTTGTGCTCTCCTCCGAGGTGTGGCCCATCTTTGTTACGTCCTGAGAGGGATGAATTGAAGGCTCTGGCAGTGGGCTTTCCATTGAATCACCTGCCCCTACCATATCAGCCTCCTCGCTTCCTGAATCCTCTTCATTGCCTTCTGTAGGAAGACCCTGCTCATCACCAGAAGCTCTAACAATCACACCCTCATCAAGGGGTGCAATAGCACCCACAGCTTCGGAGACTAACCCCTCATGGTATCCCTTTCCACTCTGACCTTCCTCAGGGACAAGCACACCACCATGTGCGTCCGTTGCCTCAGACCCTGCTTCTTGATATGTTGGCGAAGATAGGTCATCTATGAGCTCTGGCCTGGCAGTCTCTTCCAAGGTGTGCTCCAACTTCGCACCCTCCTCGCTGGGATGAACTGACGGCTCAGGGATTGTGCCTTGGACCTCAGCTGCTGAAGAAAGACCAGATTCTCTCACCCCTGCCCCCTCTTCACTTGTTTGCACAGGAACCCCTTGCTCTAAATCACTGGTGCCAGAAACCAGAGGTGCTGAAGGAGAAACGTCTTCCGAAACCAGTTGCTCGTGATATCCATTTCTTGAACCATGATCATCTCCTGCGTGAAGAGAAGGCACCTGGGCATCCACTGCCTCAACACCTGCCTCTGCATCAGCTAGCGAAGATGGGACATCCGTCAGCCTTAGACTCACTACCCCCTCCCCTTCCGGTGTGTGCTCTAGTTTGGAACCCTCTTCGGACGGATGAACTGAAGGCTCAGGAATTGCACTGTCCTCTATGCTTACACCTCCTGCAGCTTCGATTGGCACCCCTTCTTCATGTCCTCCCAAAGGAGTCCCTTTATCAACATCAGCAAAACGCCCAATCACATCCTCATGAACTAGAGTAGCTGCAAAAGAGGCAGCTTCAGAAGCGAGTTCCTCATGATAAGCCCCACCCACATTCTCCCCTGGCATAACAAGAGGTGCCTGAGAAACCCTCGCCTCAGAACCTGCTTCTCCATCACTTGGGCAGTCTGGAACATCTGCACACTCCGGTTTTGCACTATCCTCTATAGTGTGTTCCAGCTTGACAGCCTCCTCAGCTGGATGGAGGGATGGCTCTGGGTCGGTGACCTCAACTGGATCCTCAGCACTCACAAAAACAGACTCTCCAATTGCCACCCTCTCGTCATTATTTACCACAGGAACTACCGGAATACCACCGACAGCACCACGGGCACCCTCATCCACAACTGGCGCAGCAGAGGATACAGTTTCAGACGCCAGTTCTCCATGATAGCCATTCTTCACCCCGGGATCTTCCCCTGGGACAAGTGAAGACATTGAAGCTTTCGTTGCCTCTGCAACAGCTTCATCGACACTTGAACAAGAGGGAATATCGGTCAATGCCGGTCTTGCAATCTCTTCCAAGGTATGCTCCAGCCTCACACACTCTTCAGCAGGACGGACCGAAGGCTCTGATCCTGGCTCTGCCACATCTGACAATGATGCAACCGATGATTCACTCGTTTGGATGCCATCAATTCCAGCTTGAGCGAATGGCTGGCTCGAATCGATGGCACTTACTTCCAAAGAGGGAATTGTTCTGGATGGGTTCGATGCATCCATCTCAGCAGACACTGCCCGGACATCAATTTCAACAGGAGCATCCGCTGTCGTGGGTGATGATGCTTCCGCAACAGGATCTGGTGTATCAGCTGAAGGATGAGCCAAAGGGTCAAAGACTTCCTTCCCTTCCGGACTCCTTTCATTCTTCACCACTTCAGTAGCCTCATCGCCTGATGACTCACCAGATGCTTCAGCAGTGTCATCCTGAGCACCTGCCACCTGCAAGGGATCAACAAGTTCTCTAGAGGCATCCCTTGTATCATCTACCATACGTGCCGTTCCTGAGATTGGAGAAAGCTCTGCTACTGTGGTGGATACAGACGCATTCCCCGGCTCCTGGTTCAAATCACAGTTCAAAAATTTGTCAGCGAAACTCATTCCCTGTCTGTCTACACGACACCACAGCTTCATACCATAGCTTCCGATAAATAGTTTGACACTCCCTACTACAGTTGCAATAAAATTAAATGACAAAACTTCACTTCGACACTTCCTACTACAGTTCCAATAAAATCAAATGACAAAACTAGTGCTCTCTCTCTCTCTCTCTCTCAATGGTCGAAATTCTTCCCCCTCCCCCCACTGTGGACATTTTCAACTCTTGTTTATGGTATTCATCTCCCCTTTCTGGCCCTGCAAATAATTTACCTACAGAACTCTCACCTGTCAAGTTGCCTAGCAACATGAGATGATTTCCGTTGCGTTCTTAACAGTCATGCGACGCGTCAAGAGGGAAAATTTCCAATGCACAGAGGGGATCAAACACAACCATCTATGAGTCAGATGGTAAAACACTCTTCTTCAGTCATGTTCACTTTCTAGTCCATCTCAACACAACATTCACCCCTCATTGGCACAATATGTTGGAAAAGAGTGGATTCTTACTTCCAAACGCTGCTACACTACGGTGTGCCTACAGTAAGCCTTCGTGACGCCTAAGGAATTATGCACCATTTTGATAACAGAATTGTGAAGCCCAGGCGAAAAGCTGGACCTCGTGAATTGATGAGATGAAGACGAGTTGATGTGCATCGAGGAATTCCAGGTTGGAGTAGAGAACCATGGTGTGACAATTTGAGGAGATGACAAGTTCAGGGAAAAAGAATACAACACAAAACAATTTGAAGAGAGGAAAGGCCGCTTTAAGCTGAAGCTTCAATTTCACCAAGGCCCACCCCAAGCAGAGAGATGGACTGATGACAATATCAAGCAAGGACATTGGGTTGCTAGACAAACCCTTGAGAGGAAAATAACATGGGAAAGGGGTGAGGAAGTTGCAAACTTCAAGAATTGCTCGTGGGTAAGGACTTTCCATCAGCAGCCTGGCAACACCGAAATGGCTACCATCCAAAAGCAGAGACAATAATATAGTTCAACCCATAGCTGGATGCTGGATTCCAATAGCCAAAGGCCTGTCCACCATGCCCAATTTGCAGAAAACAACAAAAAGCAAAAACACGGATCAAAATGTGTGATCAAAACTCAGGCACTATTATCCATGTCCAATGAGAACCACATTCAGTAACGCACCTAAACCCTGCAGGCACTCCAGGGGCTTGGTGGCAAAGGTCAGACTATGCCATGTTTACTCTGGAGCACCCCTGTGTGTGCGCACGCGCGCGACGAACGGGTGCGTAACGCATGGGAATCTACCAAACAGTTTGGGAAGAATCCCAAACAGTCTAGATAGTCAATTTAGCGTGATAGTCAAAGCTTTTAGCGCTGTTTGATGAGCCCGCGCACGCACAGGGGTGGCACATCATGCTCAACTCTCCCCATAACGGGCTGCTTTTCTTCCATGCAAAGCAGCTTGAGGGCCAGCTCCACAAACATCGTCTCTGTAGCCTCCCGGCAACCAGGCATGCATACTTCTCAAGGTGCAGGTCCCACTGATTCTACATATTGCTAAGCAAGGACGAACTTAACCATTTCTACAACTGGGTGCATGTTGTCTGAGCAGGAAAAAAGCACCGCTGGGGCCTGACCTACACCCCCTGTTTTTCCATGCAAAGCATCAAACACCCCCTTAGACACTCCGCCTTTACCCCTTGCAGGGCCATACTTGCAAACTACGATCACACACCTGCTTCACAAATGCACTTTCGTTGTCAACCGGTCCTTGTTCAGGTACATCCACGGTTGCCGTGCCTTCTGCTCCAATGGCTTCCATTGAAAGAGGTTCTCCCTTTTCGCCTGTACATGCTCCCATGAGGAGCTCTCCTGCACCAGTTGGCTCAACCGCTTCTGGTCTCTTGGCATCATCGTCACTACCCACAACATGTGCTGTCTCTGAGGGCACACTCAATGGCTCAATTGATGCTTCTCCTGCACCTGTGATCGTGGACAACATTGCCAAGTCTGCACCCACTACCGTTTCTCCCAGCTGCTCTTTCCCTACTACGCCAGAAACTGCCTCGATATCCAGAGCAGCATCCACAGACTTTGTGCCTGGATTTCCCTCCGTGGTAGACCTTTCCTCCGACAACCCCTCCATACCTGCCTCGGTGTGCGCCACCTCTTCACCTCTTTCTTCTGCTTCCTTGTTTGCCACCGCCTCCAGTTTCGACTCCAAGGCCCCGGACACCTGTGTTTCTGAAATGCCAGGCTGTGACTGCATCTCTGTACCATATTTGAAGCTGCTGCCTGTCAACCTTTCTGGCTCAGTGGATGGTTGAGGTAGGGAAATCGCCTCTTGTTGTGTGTCGGGTTCCATAGGATCAGCTGCATCTCTCTTCTTGTCCTCCTCTTGAATAGCAACCGCACCCACGACAACGACTGACTCAGTAGAAACAGCAGTCAGAAGATCAGCTGAAGAAACTGATGTGAAAGTCGCATCAGCTCGACCTGCATCTTCTTTCGGTGGATCCAAGGTTGCCTCGGTCTTAACGACAGCTTCCGTCACAGCCTCCAAAGCTTCGCTAGTCGATTTATCATCAAACTCAAGGCCGTCCGAGTCAGATGAGTCCTCTAGAACACGAACCCCCACACTCTCTGGAATTGTGTTACTGGTTGAGGACTCCACGGCCTGAAAGCCACCTGTAACTTCACCCACAGAGCCAGGATCCTCAGCCAAGGCAGACAGCGCACTTTCCACACTGTCAAGAGCGATCGGTGCCTCAGGTTCACCACTCAGTGACACTTCCTCCTCCCCTTCACTGTCAGTACGCAATGGTTCTACCACATCCCCTTCAACATGTTGTTTCTCCTCAACCGGTTGAACGGTCTCCTGGACAGTCACATCTGCTTGTGAAACATCTGCAGGCTCTTCAGGCAAAGCAGGCACTTCAAGCCCAGGGTCAGACATGTCCTCAGGTGAAAGAGGTTTCGCCACATCACAGGTATCCTGGCGAGGTTCTATAGTCGCTTCTGGATGACTTGTTCCAGCCACAATAGGTATGAACTCCGTCCCAGCCCCTTCTGAACATGCCGGCAAACCCTCACTCAAGTTGGGTGCCACCTCCAAACTCTCCAATGCACATTCCACACCAGCTCCTGTTTCCGCACCCAGTGAAGATTCAAGTGACAATGCACGGTTCTCATCAACTTTTACGTCCACAAGTATCCCCAAAATAGATCCAGCGTCAACTCGAGCTTCTAGTTCACCACCCTGCTCGTTTGAAGAAATTTTCAGCAGCAAAGATGAAACACAAACACAGAAGTCAACTCCAGCGAGAATTGATGCCCTCCGATCAGAAAGAGTGTACAACACACGAGAGAAATTGCAACACTTAGGAGACTTAGCATGTAACCAGCCAGGGCTTAGAAGTCGCCATCACTACTAGGACTAGAAAACAACTTGGCAGACAAGATTGCCAGTGCCAACATGTTCACATATCTGCCCTCATGGTAGGAAGACCCGAGTGGGCGAGGTGGACTACATATATGAAAGGATGTACCTCCCCTCACCCCTGCCTAATTTAGCCTTAGTATCTAAATCTCGGTTTATGCTTTGTGGTCTATCCTGTCCGTACCCTCCTGTGCTCCTCTCAGCTCTCACGGCAGTCAGCTCATCTTGAGAACCCACAGCAGTGTTTTATATATGACGTACCCCCTCTGCTATACTGTCACGCCTCTTCTGTTCTGTATGCTTTCGCTGTCCCGGTTAGGTATGCTGTAACCTTATCTGACCCTGAACAACAGTGCCCTTTACTTGGCTCCTTAACTTGAAGTGACCTCCTGTCTGACGACCTTCTGAGCTCTCCTGTTCCTATTGATCTAAGTCCATCCTATCCTCCTCCTGGTCTGTTGGACCTAGCCTTTCTGTCTCCGGGTCACACCATCTTTTGAAGCTTGTGTTTTTCTTTTGATTCGGGCTATGTCCTCCTTTCAACCATACTTCCTCTAATTCTTTCTGTAATTTGGCTCTCTTCTGGTTATCCAGCTCTCCATCCATTCTTATTAGCACTTGCTTCCATTCTAGCATGACTTCTGCTTCCATGATCTCTTTGGCCTCCTCCCAGGATTCTTCCACCGAGAGCTTTTCATTGCTCAATGTCTCACTGCATCTTACCCTCCAAATGACCCACAGGGTGGTATTCCTCGAGAGCTCCGCTATTTTCCTATCCTCCTCCTCTAGCCCATTTCTGTCTATCGCTAACAATAAGAAGAATTGATCAGTCAGGTGTTCCGTCGATGACAACTTACTCCATCCCCTTCTGCACCTCTCCCATAAGTCCTGGGCGATTCCGCACTCTAGGAGACAGTGGTTCACACAGATCCTATTTGCCTCTCTGGGCACATATTGAAAGAGGAGACTCCTCTGATCTGCCCTCCTCCTTATGTCGCTTGTCCAGCCAACCGTTAACTGGGACTGCCAGGTGAATTATTAGCCATTGTAAGCTTCGTACTCTTCCTCGTTTGATGGTCGCGTAGTACGGCCAAAGAATGGACTGGAGCCAACTTGGGTCTACTTGCGAACGTCTTTCCCATCTTGAGGCTATTACTTGCTGTGGGTCCTGAGCTGTACTTCTGGCCCTGTAACCTTTTTTAACAGTGTATTCGTGGAGTGCTCCCCAATTCTTAGCCTTCTGTCCTCGTACCAGCCCAACTCTATTGGGTCTACTTTACATCTTCTTGTACCAGCCCAACTCTATTGGGTCTACTTTACATCTTCTCGTACCAGCCCAACTCTATTGGGTCTACTTTACATCTTTTATATCCGGTCTGAACAGCCGAATCAGCTTCTCTTTCTTTTGCCTTTTCCCGATTGTCTGTTCCTTTTAATATTTTTGTTCTCTGATTTTCCACAAATTCTGTGTATTCAAGTCCAGTTCTATAAGGCTTTCCCTTCTGACTTCTCCTATTGATGTGCCTGTGAACTCCAACTCATGGAGCTCGAAACTTGCTCCGTTAAAAAAAAAGAGAGTTCATAATGGCTTTTTAGTCCACTAGAACAATTTGCTATTATTCCATTGATTCCTTTTCATATAGGAAACTTGTATCTTTCTTTTACTAATTCATCTTTGTTTATGTTCTGATCGTATGAAACTTGTATCTTTCTTTTACTAATTCATCTTTGTTTATGTTCTGATCTATGGCCTATGGCTTGATGTGTTTCAACATTGCTGAGGGGGTCCCTCGATCCTTGACTGTTGCCCAGTCCCCTCTTTTCCAGTCAGTCATTCTTTTTAAATAGCGTTCTCCACGCTATGACTATACTGTCTATCAGCTCTTCCAGCTTCTTTTGCAAGTTCTGGTGTCCCTCCAGGTGACTTCTAAGGTCTCTGATCTCTATCTGTCTTCCATTTCCGATTCTGGTCATCCCAGAGGTGTTCTATTACGTTCCTTATTTTTTTTGAAAGGGCGACGGCCTTGAGATATCTTGGTACTGACCGGCCTCAGGTACTTCAAGCCTGTTTTCTCATTCCATTGGAATTCGAACTCAGGTTTGTGTTTCAGCAGTTGATAGGTATTCTATTTTCCATATAGCCTTCTCTACCCAAACCCTCCATCTTTTGTCTCTTTCCTTCAGTGTAGAGGGCTGGTTGTCCTGATCCTTTAGTAATTCATTTCTGAGTATTGCATATTTAAATTATTTAATTTAAATATATCTTTCTTTCGGTTAAACTTTCAACAATTTTGACTGAAACAATCCTACGCGGCCGGTGGCTTTGGTCTTGTCCATCCACGTAATTGCATCGTGTCATGTAAAGTCTGTGCTACATATGTCTTGGCCTTCCCCCTCTCCTACTGGCACCCAGTACATTCTGGCCATTCTGGCCAATTAATCAGTTATGGTAAATAGGACTCCAGCAAACCAAGATCCATAGGGCGAAGAAAATCAAACCACCGAGATTCTCCAATCAAACCATACCTACAAAAGAGTTAGCTAGAGAAATCGGCAAACATAGTTCGAAAATCTAAGCTGCCTATAACAGAAAGAACAGAGAGCAAATGAGGGAAAACATAATCACAGCAGGTAAAACAAAAAACAAAGAAAAGTAAACGAGGCTAAAAACAATCGAAATACAATCAGACAGGGTTCTCACATGAAAGAGAGTCAGCCACAAAGCCACCAGGAAGAGCAAGAGGACAGACGGGTATGTCTAACAGCGAATCAAAAACCAGAATATTGTCCCACCTGCGAGTCAGGCTGGTGCTCCTTCTTGACTGCTATTTCTTGGACACCTGGGAATGTACCCGCATCAACTTCTGCTCTATCAGCTTCCTGAGGACCTGAACCTGATTGGACTTGCGTATCGTCCACTTCATCGCTGTTGCCTTGGGCGGCCAACTGCTGCTGACTTTCTTGTGGAGCTGACACTGAGCGTGCCATTTCTTGTTCTAGTGGCCTCTCAGCTACATCATCCTCTGCATGCTTCGAAGGCGTCTCCCTTTCTGCATGCCCAGGAGGACGGCCTTCACCTTGAGTTCTTGGCTGAGGGTCGTCCATCGTTGGCTTGGCCTTTTAAAAACGTATCATGCAAACATGAGTATGACAGATTCAAAGCATTAGACAGCAACACATCTTTGCTCTCATAAGCAAGAGGCCATCATCAGGCCAATGTAGAATCACTGCATTCAAATCAGTCCGTGAGAGTTGCTAGCTTAGGGTCCTGTCTCTTTTCCAAACAGATCAAACAGCCTAGCTCAGTACCCCATCCCTGTCGCGGTGCAAATCCCTCATGCATGTGGGTGTAGAAGCGATGAACTACATTAGACTACAAGCGTTTGAAGGCTACTACTTCCGCGTCTCACCTGTAATCTCAAGAAACAAACATATTAAGGGCTTTTTTTGAAGTTTTTTTATACTGCCTGCGCCAAGAAACAAAAATCTTAAGAAAGCAAATGTTGCCACTGAACAGATAGCAAGGAAAGCCCTGTCCTAACACAAAACAAATGAACGGCAGATAAGAAGAACCAGACGAGACACAGACCACAAAGAGACCCCTATTCCAACACAGGTATTTGCCAGAGACAACTTTGGGTCATTTTCCATAGTCCTAATCAGCTTTCTACCAGAGACAACTTTGGGTCATTATCCAGTCCTTTTTCCTGATTTCAGAATCCTTTGCCCTGTACCTGGCTACACGTCGGTAAGATCTGATCTTCCATAGGCAAAACTGAACTGGGGTCCATCATGAGTGTCATGGGTTCGGAGCTCCAATTTGCTAACCATTTGACCTGTCAGCAGGCAGGTATTGGTTTTAACTTTTGTCAAAACAAAACCATATTTCAAACCCTCCCCGCGACTAGTCATTAAAATGTGTGCCATGTGTGTCATATGTGGCCAGAGACAATTTAAGACAACCTTTGGCCACATGAACCAGATGACATCAGATGACATCATTCAAATGCAAGAATCGTTTTTTTCCCCCTCCCCATCGTCTTCTTTCTTTTTCTGCCTGCCACCCTCCCTCTCCTCCTTACCCTCCCCCCATAATTTTCATGGCCTGCATGTGAAATGCAGAGTACCACCTAGAAGCGGATAGTGTATTGCGGGCACAGCAGCGGGAAAAGCGAGACACCAATATTAAACTAAACATGGTGAGGACATGCTTCATAAGAACATATCCACCCGCCCCTCTCAAGCCTCTTTCTCCAGACCACGGTGCTGCTGTGTGCCAAACGAAACGAACGGACACCGGCACCGAATGTGCTGCCGCAACCAACCATTTTGGTCCCGATGACCGAAAAGTACAAGGACATGGAGGCTGGGCCTGACAAACTGTAATCCCACCGCTTACATTGTGACTAGCATGGAGCATATAATGACATGCCCAGTGGTCATTCCATCCTCGACCTCGATCTGTGGATCTGTCATCAAGTTCCGCACACGCGTTGACACTGTGGCCATGCTAAAAGAAACAGAACATGCTTTAAATGCCCACCATCTAAAGCAAATGCACAACAGAAGTGTCATGTGTATTCATTCTTTCAACATTATATAGAAGGCCAGGTAGTGGATACACAACCTTCCAGTCAGACAAACGTATGTATTCCATGTTGGACCGGAGGCTTGTGGCTGAAGAAACATCGCCGCCCGTGCAATTCCTCCTTGGCAATGCCACAGAGGACAAAAGCAGAGTTTTCAGAGATTGTGTTGAGAGGTTCCACTTATCTTGTCGTTCTCTTTTTCAGTTTCTTTTTGTTGAAACCTTCTGCACCAATTAATATAATCTTGAAACATGGAGTTTGTATTTTAAATACAGGTTATCTTATCCAATACCAAAAGAGGTACAAATCACTCAGATCACGGCGTCACCACGCACTTTCGGACAAAAAATTGAGTGCACCCAGGTTGCAGATCTCGGGGGCAGCTAATGTCAGGTCAATACCGGTGAGCCACAAAGCGCACAGGAGACTGACATATGTGACATGGCAGTTCTTTTCAAGAAAAGAACGAAAAACTGCATGACTAACCTTCCCTCTAACAAAGAAAAAAACATGTAGGGACTAAAGATGAAACCACGGAGGAGTCCCTTGTCCACGAGTTTTGGATGCAGGGTAGGACCAGGGTAACTATACGTCCACATGATGGGCCAGATCAACACAATCTACACTCCGAAGTCCATGAGTTGGATGCAGGGTAGGACCAGGGTAACTATACGTCCACATGATGGGCCAAATCAACACTATCTACACTCCGAAGTCCACCACTTTGACTGCTCCAAGGATCCCTATTCGCCCATTGCTTAGCTGAATAACATGGAAAAAACAGCAACAAGTCACCTATTTCAGAGACTGCCAATGCATCACATCAAGGGAACAACATACAGTAACGTCTACCCAGACACGCTGTTACATGTACTGAACGCTAGCAAGGAGATCATCCGTGCATAATTACCTTGCAAGTATCTTCTTTGCTTTTCCATAAAACCGGTCCGCAGATCCTCTCTCTCGAACACACACATACAAACATACAATGCTCTGCCGACAGCTTCTCTCTCTCTCTCTCTCTCTCTCTCTCTCTCTCTCTCTCTCTCTCTCTCTCTCTCTCTCTCTCTCTCTCTCTCTCTCTCTCTTACCGGTCCGCGGATCCTCTCTCTCGAACACACACATACAAACATACAATGCTCTGCCGACAGCTTCTTTCTCTCTCTCTCTCTCTCTCTCTCTCTCTCTCTCTCTCTCTCTCTCTCTCTCTCTCTCATTTCCGCATCCCCACAGGTTTCCGTGCACACACTTACTCCCGCGCGTCAACTTACTTCCGCACGCCCACTACCCTCCGCAAACTTGGGCTCTGCCACCAGAAGAAGAAGAAGAAGAAAAAGAAGAAGAAGAAATAGAAGAAGAAGAAGGAATTAGAAGAAGAAGAAGAAGAAGGTAGTAAGAAGAGAAGAAACAGAGGAACAAGAGGAAGACCTCTTACCGATGGACAGCGGGGCGAGGCGGGGTGATGGCGGTTCCGAGGCCGGGGCGGACGTGGGGGGGGGGACGCAGTCTCCAAAGCAGCGGCCTCGTTCACTTCAGACGAAGTGACGGATTGTGCTACTCGAAAGCAGCGGGAGGCGGGAGGCGGGGTGGTGGGGACGGTGGCTGGGGAACGTTAGGATGGCTGGCCGATGTCGGCGAGGTTTCCCGCCCAAATCTTAAAAAACAGGCGGCCTATCGGGGCCACAGATCTCACCAGATCGGCCGCCCAGATACACCGCCAGTTTTTCAATATTTTGGCGGGCCTACCGGACCCTGTCAAATTCTTTTTGGGGGCCGGAGCCCTCCACCACCCACATTGAGGCCTCCCGGCCCCAAAAAAAATTGAAAAACCCACGCAATCGAAATGCGCAAAGGGGAACCGGGAGGGAACCGGCGTGGTCCACCAGCCGGTACGACCGCCCCGGTTCCAGTGGGGGTAGGGGCCCCCGGTGGGACCACGTATTCGAAAAAGAGATGGCAGAAAAAAATCTAACCATACAGCTCCATGTGTCCCTGGCATGCATCAAGTTGGTTATATGGGACACCCCAAAGACCCAGTGAGCGGGTTTCATCATATACAGGCAGCATCCATTTTACGGTTTAGAACTCTTTTCCTATGCTCGCACTTCACCCCAAAGACACAGTGAACGGGTTTCATCATATACAGGCAGCATCCATTTTGCGGTTTATGCTCGCACTTCTCTGCACCTCCCTTGTATATGATGTATCAGAATAGTTTTCATAACTATCCCTCTCGTCCCCTAACAGGATAGCGTAATTCTGCCCTCATAGACTTCAGAGCTACTATGCCATCCTTCCTTGGGGTTTTCGAATGGCATCCCAAGATACACACTGTCTATAGGACTATTCACACGACCAGGAAAGAGGAAAGAAAAGGGTAATGACATTTTTGCTAGGCAAGGGCTTACACATGAAATGGACACTAAGGAGAACCCCGATAACTGATGAAAGCACTGGAAGATTAATCCGTGGGCACTTCGGCAAGAGGTTCTTGAAAACTACCAAAAACAGACTGCATGAAGTGCGCACTGCGGCAGGAGTTCTTGGTATACCCATCTCCCAAAAGAACAGCGAGCACATTCCTGATCTCCTTATCCAAAAGGTCCTAACGGGAAGATAGGCTTTCACCAAAATAAAAGAAAAAAGGAAGAGAACAGCGAAAAGGAATCATCGCAAGGTTCGTACAAGGAGACCCCCTAGCCCCCCCCATCTTCCTCTTCATTATGGAAGCCATGGCATCCTTCCTCCCCGAAGACCCGTCCATTGACCGTCTCACTGACCAAAACTTCAACCCACTGCATGACTTCGCCCTACCCACTGCACTGATGTTCGCAGACGACCTCAGTCCTCGTTCGCGCTAACAACTTCTCCTTCCACGCCCTCGCTAGGCCAATGGAGGCCTTCCGCCTAGCGTCTGAAATGAAGGTCAACTGGAGCAAAACCGCAGACGGGACCCCTCCCCAACAAGAGACACAGCCACACCCATGCCGTGGTCCACAGGCGATCATGCACTCCAATATCTAGATATCATGGTCAACAAGGACTGGGTGTGGCCAGGAATGGGACAGAGCCTGGCCCCTTGTAAGAACGAGAGGCATCGCGGATCAGGAGGGCACTAATAATAAACACAGCTATCTTTTCTACATTACGGTACATTGCATCTATCTGGTCTCCCAGCACTGCAGATGAAATGGATCCTGAAGATCCTGAGCAGACAGTACCTACCATCGACGAAGATGGCCCTAGACCGCATAAGAAACCTAGCACCAACAAGCTCTCCACCTAACATGAGTGGCTACTTCTGGATTATGGCAAAGGAGTGGACGATAAGATCAGACAGATCCCGTAGGAGCACCACACGACCCTCAGAAAACCAGGCCGCCCCAACGCCTAACCCGTACTGGACCCCGATTTTGAAAGCATGGCGACGAATGATCCCAAGCAAACACAGCACAGCGGAGAACAAAGAAAAGGTCCTGAGACAACCTCTATTCTGCAACCCATGGATCAAAGACCCTGAGGGCAATC